AATAAAATACAATAAGATACAACCTATTAAGACCGATGGAGACAGAAGAATAAAAGCTTGATGGGACTTCAAAGCAAGATGATACTAAATCAGCACTAGCTATTATGATGTCTTGTTTTCTCCAAAATAGCTGTTCCTACCATCCAACCTTCTCTGCCTCATTTCTGTTGAGCTCTTTTCTGTCATTTGTTGTCAGTTTGTCTTCTTCATTTCGCTCTCTGCCCCATTCATTGTGGCCTCTCTGCCACTGTTTCTGAAGTCTTGGTATTTTTCTTTTTTAGAATGTCCTGCAGTATTCTCTGTAGAGTTGAATTGGTTGTTGCAAATTCCCCTAGTTCCTCTTTATCCTGGAAGCACCTTGTTTTTCCATCAATTTCTAGGGACAGTTGTGCAGGATAAATCAATCTTGGCTGGAAGTTGTTATCTTTCAAAGCTTGAATTATTTCCCCCCACGCTCTTCGTGATTTGATGGTTTGTGCCGAGAAGTCTGCTGTAATTCTGATGGGTGTTCCCTTGTAAGTGATCTGTTTCTTGTCTCTGACGGCTTTTAGTATTCTGTTCTTATATTGGATTTCTGGAATTTTGATTATTATATGCCTGGGTGTAGCTCTGTTTGGGTTGTAGGTGGCTGGGGTCCTGTATGCCTCATATATCTGAGTATCTTTACCTTTTGCTAAATTAGGGAAATTCTCTTGGATTATTTCTGTGAATAGCTTTTGTAGTCCATTTGTTTGTGTCCCTACTTCTTCTTTTATGTTCTTAATTCTTAAGTTATAGATCCTCTTCTAGCCTTTGTATTATTGCTGTTTGTTTTCTTGTTATTTTTAAGAAGTTTTTCATTTCATGCTCCCATATTGCAAATCTGCCCTCCAATTCAGATAATCTATCCTTTGTTTCTTTCAAGCTGTTATGCCAGCTTTCGATAGAGGTTTTAGTTTCCTGGTAATCTCTTTGAACCTGCTTCACGTATTCTATGTTTTCTCTATTTTCTCCATCAAACAATTCTCCCCTTTTTTTCTGTTCTTCCATTCCACTATCTGTTTTTCTTGGGCAGTGCTTAGCATTTCTCTAACTATTCTACTTATATCTTGCTTTATTTCATTAAATACTTCATTTTTAAACTCGTCTATGAGGCTCTGGAGATATCGCTGTATGTCTATTGGTGCCGTGTCTGATATTGCATGTTTTCTGTTTTCCTTTGCGTTTCCCCTTCCTGCATCAGTGTTCTCAGGATTGGGGACTGAGGACCCTTTCTTGTTGCTTCCTCTTCCCATACTTTTTGTTCCTTCCATACAAGCGAATGTGGGAGGCCCAATTTTTTTCTCTTTTTCGGTTACAGTTTGTTTGAATTGTGCTGGCTAGGTGTTCCCGCCCACTGCAGTGTACTAGGGAGACACAGACCTGGGCAGCCTCTGCTGGGCCCGCCCCTCCAGGTCAACCTAACGAAGGCTTCACCACTAGGGTGCACCTCCAGGCACTGGGAGCTGGTTTGGGCTAGCCTACTGGGTCTTAGTCAGCGCCATCATGCAGGCCAGGCACTCCCCACCAATCCCGCTTGAGAGGGGAATATGCAACTAATGTCACTACAGCACCCTGTTCCAGCAAGTCTGCCCAGTCCCAGTATGTCCTTTCTGGAGCCTCCTACTCTATGAAGGGGTCCCTGTTCCGCTCACTCACCGCAAGTCGATCTAGAGCTCCCTGCTAGTCCCACTCTCAACTCCGTTTGCAGATTCCCGCTCTCACAGCCTTCGCGCATCTCTCTCCCTGCCCTGCAGATTTGAATGCAGCAGCGGCAGCAGGAAATTCTAGTCGCGGCTTCCAGGGGCCAGGGTTCTAGCTTCCCGCACTGAGATTTTATCTGTTCCTGTTATAGCACTGGGATTGGATTTCCAGTTTGTTTCTCTTAGCTTAGTTCATTCTGGGTCGCAGGGTGTATCTCCCCTTGCTTAGGACTCCTCATACCGCACCATTCCTGGATTTTAAGCGGGGTATCTCAGAGAGCCTCTGTAGCTGCTGCTATCTATCCGCCATGTTCTTCCGGAAGCCATGACGCCCTAGTTTTCTTTTTGGTTGGATCCTTCTCTGCTTTTGGTATCAGAGTAATGCTAACTTCCAGGAATGACCTTGGGAGTATTGCTTCCCTCTCAATTTCATTAAAGAGCTTGATAAGTGATAGTATTGATCTCTAAATTTCTTGTAGAATTCACAGTGAATCCATGAGGACCTGGACTTTTCTTTGTTGGTGAGTTTTAAATTATAGTTTTTTATTTCATTAACTGATAATGAGTTATTTAGAATTTTTATATCCATGATTCAACTTTGATAATATATATGTATCTAGGAATTTATACATTTTTTCTGTGTTTTCCATCTTATTAGGATAAAGTTTCTTGAAACAGGTATTGATGATCTTCTGGATTTCCACAGGATCCACTGATATTCTACCCTTTTCCTTCCTACTTGCATGAATTTGAGTCTTCTCTTTCTTTTTTTTTTTGATAAGGTTAGCTAAGCATTTATCAATTTTATTCAGTCTGTCTAAGAAACAACCCTTCAATCATTGATTCTTTGTGTTGTTCTCTTAGTCTCAATTGCGTTAATTTCTGCTCTGATCTTTATAATTTCCTCCCTCATACAAGCTTTGGGCTTGACAACTTCTTTTTTCTAGAAGTTTGAGATCCAGCATTACATTGTTTATTCAAACTCATTCTCTTTTCCCTATATGAGAATTCACTGCTATAAATTTCCATCCTAGGACTGCTTTCATTGTGTCCCATAAGTGCTAGTATTTTGTATTGGCATTATCATTTAATTATAGATACTGTTTAATTTCTTCTTTAGTTTCATCGGTGACCCATTGGTTATTCAGTAGGGTATTATTTACTTTCAGTGTGTTTATGGATTTTTAATTGTTCCTATCACCATTGATTTCCAATTTCATTGCACTGTGGTTAGAAAATATTAATGGAATAATTTCAATTCCTTTGCATTTACTTAATTAAGCACTTTCTATGGGCTAGTATGTGGTCTACTTTGCAGAGCATCTCATGCTGCGGAAAAGAATGTGCCTTCTGATATTGTGGGGTGGAACACTTTGTAGACATCTATCTACTAAGTCCATTAGCTCACAGGTTTGGTTCAATTCAAATATTTCTTTGTTGATTTTTTTAATGGATTTTGAGACCATGCTCTTAAGTGAAATAACTCAAACAAATGTCTAAATATTGCATTGTCTCTCTGGTGTGAAAAACTGAAACTATAAATAAGAACCAGAATGTGAAATAGGAATAAATTACTCAAAAGGTAAAGGGAACTAAAGAAGAGATGGGGAAAGAAGGAAAAGAAAAGAAAAATGAGAATAGAACGATAAAATGGAAACAAAGCTTTGTAAATAAGGAGGGAAAAGGGGTGAATGGAGAGGAGGGGAATGGGAAAAAAGGAAGAATCAAGTTATATCATGTACAGGTACAAATTTCCTATGATGTATATTCAAATTGTACGAATAAACTTAATAATGATGATGATAATAATAAAGCAGAAATTTTTTAGAGACCAAAGAAAAGAAAAAAGAGAAACCTATGTTCAATATCAAGTTACACTAAACCTTTTAGCAACCAAGATAGAAAATATGCACAGATACACACACACAGAATTCTTAACGATCAGAGAAGAAAAAACATTTGGATTTCGTCAGGAGACTAAGTGTTGCTATTCTGGGGTTCATGCCATTAGTAAACACTTACAGAAGAGTTTCCTGTGCAAAATACAAAGCTCCTACCCTACACCCTCTCCCTCCTCTCTTGCTTTGGCATCCTCGTTTCAGGCCATATAGAGCACAGAGATGTGTCCTTAGTATTGTTCTGTGCTCCTTTTGAACATGTTAAGAAGTAGACCAGGGTTATAGGCTTTTCTTTGGGTGTAATTCAGTTGAGACTGTGCTGTGCAGAGTTGCTCTTGGATTTAGAGGCATCTATCTCCTGTCTTCAATCTGGGAATCTTAGGTAGGGTAAGAAATCTAAACTGTTTCAAGGCTCTACGGGTATATATTTCTTGTTCCTCAAAGTGCCTTGAACCCCATATCTGATCCATCTATGCTATGATGGGGTATTTTTTGAATAAAAGATCTCTGGGGAAGGTTGACTCAAAGAGTGACATGGTCACATGTTAAAGTTGTATGCCTTCTTGGCTTCTAAAAGTGACATGGAGGTACAGGTTACCTAGACTTGTAGGGTTCAGGGACTAAAATTAGGCACAAATAAGGTAAATGGCTGAGGTCCTGCTTTCTGACTCTCAGGCTGCATTCTAAAGCTGTAGCAGGAATGTGGATTTCATCCTGAAAAAGGAAGAACCAGTGAAGAGATTCAGACCTTTGACGTACCTGTCAGAGCTGCCCATTCTTAACACCCTTCTCTGTCCTCCTAACACTTGGGTTTTCTCAGGAGGTAGACCAGAACCCTCTAGAATTTGAGCATATGAGAGAGGAAAGATTTAAAGAATTCTGCTATGTTGCACTTTTGTAGTAAATGGTATAAGAGGAAAACACTAGAAAAGTAGCCCTGTCTCTCAGGAATTCATGAGTTCTCCAGATATTTCCTAGAAGTTTGTGGTTGCTTTTATTTTTAAACATACATGTATGTATCCTGAACATATACTGCATATCTATAGAAGTGTGTTTTTTAGAATGGGCTGTTACTACAGAAAGCGACATTTTTGGTGAGGTGGCTGTATATTACATAGTTGGTATGGTATAGTATGTCTGGACTCTTGGCCAAAGATCATCATTTGAAAAACCAAGGACAGTGCCTGTGTTGACATCATTTGCTCTTATCCTATCTATGCTGGCTTAATGCAAAACACATTTTGTTAGGCTACAAACAAAAGAAATTGGGATTTGGGCCTTTATGTGATCAGAATGGCTGTACTCAATTCTGCTTAGAATGTTATTCATGACTATTGTAAGCAATGACTTGATTCTTATGTGTGCTTATTCTTTTTGAAAGTGTTAGAGAGGAAGATATCCACCAGACAAAGTAGAGAGGAGCTGATAAGAAGGGGCGTGATTAAAGAATTGCCTGATCAAGGTGAGGAAATTAATCATAATTTAAATAATTTGATCCTTCACTCTCTGGCCTTTCATTTTCTTTTGAAATTTAAAACAGTTATGGTCTTTAGACAAAGCAGCAAGTAATGTATTTCAACAGTTTTGCTTTAATTTGGAATGCCTTTGTGGATGGCAGAGAACCCAAGGTGTTACAAAAAGAAATCCAGTGAGTTTTCTGGTGAATCCTTCACCATAGATCACACTGAATGCAAAGCTCTACCCAGGTACCTTGGTGACTAGAGATACAGATAAAGATACAAAGCTCACATAACATCATCTCTTCTCTTCTCTGTTCTTAAGCTTTAAGCTTTCCATTCAAGTTATACTCAATTATTTAAGTAAATACAGCTTTATCTTATTCATGCCTTATCTGTTTCTTAAGACTAATAGTAAAAAGATGGCACACTCACCTCTTGTCCTCTATAATATACTCAGATGTACAGGCAGTAAGGCATGACTGACAAATGAATCTGCTTTCTCCTTTCTCTCAAGCAATTTTTTCCAGTATTTTCTCTTTCCTTTTCCCAAGTGTCCTGCCTCTTACTTTGTCACTAACAAGGATTAGTTGCAAGTATTTTTTCTTTCCTCTACTCTTCATTTCTTTTGCTTCTAACCTCTCAAAGGGGAAACTCTTGCTCATGAAAGACAAAGGATAGACTGAAACCAAGATTTCCCCACAAAAAAATTTCACCAGCATTGGTATTTCTCCAAATACACAATAATGATTGTCCTTACCTACTGCTAAAGCCAAAGGAATTCTGCTGTAACCCTGTTGATTTATCGCAGGTCTTCCTCCTAGGTGTATTGGAGGCAAGTGATATTGTTGAAACTTTATGAGAACAATGAAAATGCTATTAATTTGGAATTAAAATAATAATAATTCTCTTTTCCTGATATATGTTCTTTGGAAAGAACTTAGTATTTTTTGGCATTTGCTATTCATAAGTTGAAATGACATGCTTTTTCCAATATCTAAATAATTCCGAGGTGGACCTGTGAAATGCCTTAGGATTTTACTCCTACCTCAGAAAAGGGGGCTGTGGTTCTCAAGAAAATACAGTAATGCTGCCTGTAATGAGTTTTTACAATTCTAGCCAGTTTAATTTCTGGTCTTTTTCACTCTACTTTATAAATGAACTTTATGTCTTGTCCAGTTTTCTATTGCTTTAAATTTATTTATTTCCTGTCTGGAGTTTTTAAAATAAAAATTACACATCCTATCCTTTTTAATTTGAAGCTAAGCATGCAAATACCAGAATTCATCTCAGGTCCAGTCTATCCAGAAGGAGTACAAAAATTACATAGCCATTGGCAACCAAACACTAAAGCCATTGGCAGACCAAAAACCAGTTTTATGGAGTGTCCAATGCGTTTATTTAATATCTTGTATTTGAAGATATTTCCAATAAAGAAAAAAGGCAAAACTTTACCATTTAAAAATAGATTTAAAGATAGAGACTAATGGTAATTTTTTTCCTACTTATAAGTTGCAAGTGGAAAATCATTTTATTTTTTCTGAAAATAAGTAAGCATGGTCAGTTTTTTAAAAAATGCTTAATACTAGTTGGCTTTTATTTTGTCTAATCTGTTCAACTATTTGGGCAACGTACACTTATTTCTTAGAAGTTTGACTTTCTTTGACATTTTTGCTTATCTTTTGCAGCTGAACATTAGAAGTCTTAAAACATAAAAAGGCACATCACTTTTTAACCTGAACATAATATAAAAGGCTTAATGTTTCGGAAATCCTAATCTCCTGAACTGTACTTTCTTCTACCTTTTACACGATGCCTACATAGAACTATAAAAATATATAACATTTCAAAGTCCCTAAGGTTGCCTGTTTTAAATAAAATCTTCCCTTTCAGCCAAAGGCTGGAGAAAATAGATTTCTGTCAATGTCCCAAAAACAGTTACCTTGAGAGTTTCAGTGGGAGAGGCGGGCAGCTGCCATTGTGCTGGCAGCCGTCTCTCCTCCACCAGTGCAGTTTTATTCTTTCTTTTTTTTTGTCTTTTTCCTTTTCATCGGTACCAGGGATCGAACTCACGACTACCTGCTTGCAAGGCAGGTGCTTATGCTGCTGAGCTAAATCCCCAGCCCCGCAGTTTTATTTTTAGCTCTGATCTTCTTGACCTTTAATTATGGCCACTTTTTCACAGGTCAGATGGACGTTTTAAACCTGCCCAGATTTGACCTTAGCCCGTCCTATCTCATCCTCTCACTCTCGGCCATTACTATTATTTAGATTGGTTTTTTTTATACCAAGTTCTAACTTCAGTCCAGTATCCCAGCCGTTGACCTGTCCCAAGGAGACGACACATAGTCTAGTCCGAGTTCAATTCTTATCTCTGGTTCTTTCTTTCCGTCTTTCTGTTCAAGTTCAACACGCGGGCATGCAGGTGTCTTGGTCTGTCCACCACGCTCCTTTCTTGTTCTCCCAGGGAGTAGTTTTACCCTGTCTAGGGTCCTTACTTTTCTTCCGACATGCATTTTTCTCACAATTGTCCTTTCTGTAACTCCTTCCCCTTCCTATACCTCTTTTTATCAGAAAGAAGTAATATCTTTCAAACACTCTTGTATTTCTTTCTTTGTGCTTTCTTTTGCTTTTTAAGCTTGCAGTGATTTGAGTTCTTGTTCTTTATATACTAATGCTCCTTCGAGGTGAATGGGCCTGGCCTCTTCCTACATCCCACGCCAAGCTCAGCATCTTTCTGTGCCTTCCATTTCTGAACTTACATTTGCTTGCATACATGCACTGTATCAAGGATTTAACCTATTTAAGTTCTGGCACAATTTTCTCATCACTCAGTATTAGAAAATCTTTTCAATAATAAACTGATACCTTCAGTTCTTCTGTTCCTTTCTTGAAGTCCATATTTATTACAGACATATCTCTTTTTTCTACAGCTATATTTACAATGCATTAGTTTTATTTCACACTTCAGAGTAAGTATCCTTCCACATTTCTGACTATTGCTGTCATGTGATAATGCAGTTTCTTCTTGTGACCGAACTATTTTTTATCGTTATATTTTTAAGAAATCAGTTTTTAACCAACTAAAGGGTTTAAATACAACTATTTAAAGTTGAACTAAATTGTCATTGACATGACTTTAACATATATTTATTACCAACTAAAATCAAAGAAAACAACGTAAATTTTATTTGTGCTACCAAAAAGTGAGGATTTTTATATAAAGAATTATCCAGTCATATCATTTTAATTTTTTCTGAGTAAATTGTGTCTTCTGCATTTTTTATAGCTAACTTCTAGGGGTATAATAATTCTTACCTTAATTTTATTGAAATCATTAAGATTTACTTGCAATGTTATTGCCTGCAATCACCGTCTATTTCACTTTTGTGTAGAAATTAATGGGTCCTTAGGCATCGCATGACTCAGCAACAGTTGTGCTTTCATTTTGAGCATGACATGATTCCACAGTGTTTCTTTTGCTCGTTAAAATTTCCTGCCTGTTTTTGTCTAGGAGGCCAATGAATTTTATTGTTGAGCCAAACCAGTGAAAATTTGGAAAGTGTTCTGTGTTTTATAATAAGATTAATGCCAAAATAAGATTAATCAAAAGTTGCTGAGAAGCAACTCCAATTGTGCATTTCTACAAGTTTGCTAAATCAGTACTTCAATTAATGAATTGTACTTTCACAGTAACAGCAGAACCTTGTACATTTTTCCTTAGATGAATTTAAGGGTAATCTTTTCAAGCATCACTGAATTAAATTTCTGTAAAACCTCTTTCATTTTAGAGCCCCTCAGGAAAATGAAATGTCAGAGATTAAAATTGTTTATGACTCATATAATATAGTAGAAATTTTGTTTTCAGTGTGATTTATAAAAATTCCCCTATAAGTACTTTTTATATTTTTTTCCTCCTAGTATTTTTTGTTATTATTATGGTATCTAAAGGATTTTTTGGTTAATTATATATAACAAATGCTCTAGTACATTTTGATTTTTCCATAAACGAGGAAATAAAAATAAAATTAACCTTGGTGCCAACTATTCTCTGGATACAGAGTACTAGTTATATCTGTGTAAAGTTAGCATATTATATATAATGTATTCTGAAGACAGTGGTGCTTGGAAATCTTATTGTCCCACTAATTGTTGTATGTGTAATTACATTTCACGTTATTTGTGTACATTGTGTTTTTGGTGCATGTTAAAATGTTTGTTCCATTTTGCAGATTATTCCTTTCACCATTCAGTTTCTGGATAACAAAAAACACCGAAGTCTTACTTCAACAAAATCTAAGCCCAAGAACAGAGGAACTCTGCCACCCTGGGGACCCCAGAATTAGGCTACTTGTTTCTACTGTCTTGAAATGGGATGAGGTGTTCTTTTCCTCCAAAATTGCTTTTCCCAAGATTATGAATTTCCTAGCTTTTTCTTTTAAATATTTAGTAAGATGTGGTGATTTGGTTCCCAGGGATAGAAACACAAATCTAGATCATATAATCATGTTAGCTGGGAAACTGGTTTTTAAGAAAACCATCAAGTTAGACATCTAGGTGTTTCTTTCCCATTTTAGATGGAGATGTAACAGTTAACTTTGAAAATTCAAACGGGCACATGATACCCATCGGAGAGGAATCTACCCGGGAGGAGGATGTAGGGAAGCCCGAAGAAGGTAATGGCTCTGTATCTGAGAAAACACCACCTCTGGAGGAAAAGGCAGAAGATAAGAAAGGTAAAATAAAGAAAAACCCATATTATTCCTTTAGTGCAGCTTAACATTGAGAACCAGCGCTTAGGCTCCAAATAGTGACTCTAAAACTAGTGGTTTGTGAAGAGAGAAATGATAACTAGGAAAAAGATACAAAATGCTTTTCCCAGATAGATGCAATCATTTTATAAGCATATCATTTGATTTTAAACTATTAAAAAGAGATAATCAAAGGTAACCATTGGCAAGGGGACTCTTCAAGCACTTGAGATGTCTGGGAATACTCTCCTTTTCTTGGGAGTTTTTTTGGTCAGGATCGTAAACATGAGAAGTTTGAACATCAGTAGGCACCAAAGCCGACGAGGCTCTCAGCCCAGCGCACTCCCTCTTCAGCCGGGGGACTTGGCTGCCGACATCCACACACCCAGTATTGTAGATTCAGGTACCTGCAAAACGAGTGTCAGAGACCCCCACAGAACTTCACTTATGCAAAGCTTGAACTGAAATCTCTCATGAAGAGGTTTTCCTGGAACTTTCTAGATGACTCCATGCTACATTGAAAGGAATCATCAGGGAGCGGGCTATTTCCTGTTCTGTAAAGTCTGTGCCTGAGTTGGATGGCAAAAATTTGTCAGGTGTTCATTGGGTTTTGTAGATGTTTTGATAACTTTAGAAACTGCCAAAGTGAACTTTTCTCCCTCCTTGTTCTTGACCTAAATCCTCCAAAGCAAACAAAAGAGCTTTTGATGGCTTTATTTGATCTCATAATTTAAAATTCTCTTCTTTGGAAGTCCACAACTGCTTGCTTATTTGCCAGATAAATTAGCTTCAGTAGTTTTAGAAACTGTGTTAATGATTGGTTAGAAATGTATTATTTTGTTTTCTTTTAATATTAAGCTCAATATTCATGGAATGTTACTTAGTCTTGTTCCATTGAAGCATTCTAGTTAGGCTTATGAACACTGATTATGAAAAATTAACTGATTCTCTCAGTAATAATATTTCTGGACCTAAGGAGAAAGTAGACTTAAATTTTAAAGAGCTTCAGTTGAAGGGGTAATGTTTTTTTGTTGCTTAAGTCTAACTGTCCTGTATCACCAAATTGTTAAATTTTAAATCCATCTGTGGTTGGTCCCTGATCTGTGTGATTGGTCCCTGATTTGTATGGGTATCATTGTCACTCACTGATTGGCCAGACTTCAAAAGAAAGGCATTTCCTTTATCCATCTAATAAAAAGCTGCTGACAGGTTAATGCTAGTTAAAACAATAGGCCATGATATTCTAAAAAGATGATAGATCTTAAAGGCCCTTGAATGGTTGATGGATATTTTTGTCTTTTTATTCTTTACTTCAAATTAGCACAGTCTGTTCTTTGTGATCAAACAGGATCCAAGACACTGTCTTGCTTGGCTAGCCACTGCAGGGGGACATGGAGATGCCTTAGGTGCTAAATTGCCCCTATTAAGGCATTTTGGGTTCTGCATATTTTATAGACAGAGCTCACACAGAACCACCTTGATAATGAAAAAAAGTATTAGGTATGGAAGCCATCTCCTGAGACTAAAAAGAATGTCACTCATAACTCAGATTACAGAATTATGCTAAGTATAAAATGCCTTATAAGCAAAGATAACTCATTTCTGTAGAAAGGCACCATTTAATTCTGAAAACCAGCCTGATTACTTCTGTTCCTCTTTTAGACTCAGTCCTTGTGTGAGCTTTCTGCCATGCAAAGCCACCATGCCATGTTCTTAATTTACCCTCGGTCTGGGGGTGCAGCACTGCATTTCCTCCTGCACAAAACCAGCCTCCTTAAGAGCATTATTACATTTATTAGTTGACTATTTTGCAAAACCACATCACATGTCTTTAACATCTTAGATGCTCATAATGCCTCTTTGCAAGACAGTATCTCAGTATTTTTGATATTTGAAACATCAGTGTTGAAGAAAGCAAAACAGATTGGCAGACAATATGTTTCACACTCGTCCTGTGAGTAGATTCTGTCCAGGGTGCTGGATATTTCTGGGATTCCTAAAGGCACCTGTTTCCATAGTTGCTACAGTGGTTTGAGTTAGGAAATCTCCTAACACTGGAGATTTCCTCCTTAAGGTTCTTGGGGGCTTGTAATCTCCCATTATTCTTTCTCAATAAATGTCCTTAAATCTATATGAGGTAGAAAAACTGACCTGCAATCTGTTAGATATAGTATGGTATTCAATGTGAGGAATCTGAGAATTATTTGACATTATTTCTGTTGAGCTGTTTGAAAAGATGTTCAATGAGCTAACACTGACAATGAGTAATTATTTGTTCCCCAAGTGATAATGAAGGTCTGCCATGAATGGGATTCTAGTGGGGGGGAGGAGGTTAGGGAAAGACTGCAGCATAAAAAAATGGCCTTTGTCCTTAAGCAGGTCACGGCCTAAGAGGAGAGGAGACCACAGCCAAGCAATCGCAGTACACATGCCACGTACCATGGAAGGCCTGAGTTCAGCCGGCCAGGGGAGCTTGCATGGAGACCACAGTTGTTTCTGAGTGGAAAATCTTTCTAAACTAAGACCTGAAGGAAGCAGTGTGCCAAAGGAGAGAAACTGGGGCCGAAATGCATGCCTGGCAGGTGCAGGGCACACGCAGCTCTCATGTGCTCCTAGCAGTGTTGGGCTCACCCCTTTAATGGTGGAAGGAACCAAGCCTGGAAGTGCAGCAGACAGACTGCCTTCCAGACTGGGTTGTTTCAAAGCCTCGTGTCCTTAGGAAGCCAAAAGGAAGAGGCAGCTCCTCACTGTCTCCTTTACTCCATCAGTTTGTGGCATGTCTTAGATCATGATAATAGGAAAAATCTGTTGCCTCCCACCTCTCCCATATCAGTGAGGAGTGTTTTCCACTGACTGTGTGTCAGTAGCTGTCAGTCAGTCACATCCCTTGACTACACATGGCTTGTAGAGCACAGTGCTTGATGGGTTATAAAATTTCAGAGGAAAGAGGTTTTTCATTTAATCAGAAAATCATAGCATTTGCATACTCATGCATGTGTGCACATATGCACACAAGTGCACACACAATACCAAGCTCTCCTCAGAATGGTAGCCCTCACACATAACTGGTAGAATCCAAAGAGCAGAGGGAGCAGGCTCTCCAGCAAGCCTGCAGAGTCCAAGTCCAGTGTGTTCACTGTCACCCCTGTGGGGACTTCCATTCCTAACAGTCACAGAGGGACCCATTTCTCCTGTCCTAGACCCAAAAGCTGAATTCCTTGGGATTTTATTTCAGTTACTTTTATTTTCATGTGTTTGTGCTGCTAGGAATCAAACCCAGGGCCTTGTGTGTGCTAAGTGCTTTACCATTGAACTACATCCTCAACCTGTGGTTGGTGTAAGTTTAAATTTAAGCAGAAAGCAAACCTTAAGCAGAAAGCAAAAAAGTCCCCCATCATGAAGGGGAAAGTTGAGAGATGGGCTTTCAGTATGGAGGAGAAATTAAAATGCTGAGAGGCGCAGACCACTTCGCTTTCCTCTGGACAATATGATTGGGCTGAATCTCCATGCAAGGTAATGCTCTAGAGGCCAAAGTTACAAAGACGAACTTAAAATGATAGGCTTCCCCCTATGCAGAGAGACCAGCAAGTCCATGTATGTTTTATATTTTATGTTAAAATTTAATGTGTATCAATTTGTATCATTCTCAAACCTCTAATGGATTTTGGTGATGACTTGCCTCTGGTTCACATCAGGTGGGTTAGGAGACCACCATTATATCACAGATGCTGAGCAACTTAGTGGAAGAGAAGATGCATACGTGGAAAGGCAGAGTACAGCGTGGCCTCTGATGAGTGCTGAAAAAATGTCTCATGCAGTGGCTGAATGGGGACGGGAGGGAGAGGTCACTCTGGGCTCCAGTGACTGGGGCGGGCTTCATGGCTGAGGAACTTCGTGAGTTTTGTTGATTAGCTTCTGTAACTTAAACCATTAGTGTGATATAGGTACATAGATATATATTTGGCTAGCAGATGGATAGAAAAGGAGTAGTCATTTTACACTCACTAGGATAAGAAACAAAAAAAGACAATAAATTATGATGCTTGCCGATACCTTTTTCTTTGATCATTTAAACATGGAAAGGTGTATCCAAGGAAGGCTTAGTCTGTTCCTAACACTGTCTTATGTTTTTGTATTGTGCTCCATTTTTAAAGAATTGCTGCTTCGCTCTCTGAAACAGACCATTTTTTAGTTTATTATAATTTCAATCACTAGTAGAAATAAACCCAGATGCAAATATATGAATGATCCATAACTTTTCTGCTTTCTTTAGTGAGCAGTGAATTACTGTATCTCCTCCAGGTACACAAAACCTGTGGAGGCTTCTGTGCTTTGGCACACATTTTCGGCTATGTGGTTTAGCCTTTATCTTTTCGAAAATCATTATTTATGTTACATTACAGAACAAAGTAAATCTTTTTTGGGTTCTGTACCCCGCCACACAGCGTGGCACTAATTTAAAAGGGCAGAGGAAGTTACAGTAGAGCGGGACGCTGCCCTGGCATGCCGGGAGGGCTGAAGGACGTTTTACAGTAGGGAGCTGCTCTGGCAGCTCGCCTTGTGCTTGGAACACCACTGACTTTCTACCACAGTGGATGGAACACAAAGCCCTTTCCAGCGGATCAGGCCTGGGCTCTGCGAGGTAAATGCAAGTCCACAGTGTGTGTCTGACACACATCTGTCACTCAGGAGCACCCCACGATTGTGCTAAATTATTAACTTTGTTCTAATTAGCATTCAGTGCCCATGCTGTCACCTAGCAACCAGAAGTTTGAGGTTGGACTCAGTGTCCCTGATTTGCGGGCATTTCTTCATCGTCAGTATTACGTCACCAGAGTAATGTCGCTTTTTTTTTAACAAGGGATCAATTGATAGACCCAGAGAATACACTTGAGTTTGTCTTTCAGCCTTTGATTTTACCCAAGACTTCACTTGCTCTGCTGCAGAAGTCTGTCTGGTTTCCAAGGGCCAAGCAGCTGCATGTGTACCCCTGTTGCATGTGTATCTCTTCCGTTTCTGTGGTGTGTGTCTATCAGTCTGTTCTGTTCACTTTCTCATTTATAGAGAACACTGAAAACCACTCTGAAACTCCGGCAGCTCCTGCTCTACTTCCTCCAGCTCCTCCTAAGCCTAAACCCAAACCTAAACCCAAAAAATCACCTGTGTCTCCTAAAGGGGCCACTGCTGGGCCCAGCCACAAAGGTGACGAAGTACCTCCCATTAAAAAAAATGCCAAGGCTCCTGGCAAGCAGGTCCCTGCCCCTCCGCCCAAGCCAGCAAGCCGAAACACGACCCAAGAGGCTGGTGAGTACACCCCCAGGGCACGGCAGGCCTGAGTCCAGGGCACTCAGCTCCGGGAGGGGACTGTTCTTTGAGGAGTGAAGGACTTTTGGTGTCTTAGGATGCAACGCCAGTAGATTCAGCTTTGACACACAATGAAGTACTATTCTGCTATAAAGAAAGAAATGTGAGTCATTTGTAGGAAAATGGATTTCTAATGTTAAGTGAAATAAATCAGATGCATACCCTGAAGTTTCATAGTCACATAGTTTCTTTTATATGAGAAACTCAAAGTATAAATAAATTAAAGACCAAAATAAAAGATGAAAAGAAGATCTTTTACAAATGGGAAGGGGACCAAGACATGGAGGGAGGAAGAGGGAAGGGACTTAAAAAGAATTACTATGTGTTATGTATGTATCCCAGCTCCTTCCGATGAATATAATCTCTACGTATTGGAAATCTATATTAATAAAAATAAAATTTAAAAAACGAAAGAGTGACAGGAGATTCCTTTGTAGCCGTCTGCTGGAGGAAAGTCAGCTGGTTGCTTCGTTCTTCTTGGTATCCACTCTTGGCACACGAGACCCAGCTGAAGGATGCAGGGCGTAGCCTGCCTGATGATGGGTGCTGATCCGATATAATATTGTTTAGACGTTGATGGATTTTCTGCCTGCTACAGTTTACAGGTGGCTGTTTCATTTGGATTTCAGAATAGCTTGGATTCATATAAAATATGACACATCTTGACATCTTTGCTAGCTTATAATGTGTTAAATCTTTAGCATCTATAGTCATCTCTTCTAATAAATGACCAAGGTTGTGGTTCAGTGCCACCCGTTTTCTATTCCAGTCAAAACAGTTTCAGTTATATATGGAGTTGAAAGTTATACGCTCAGTACTCCCTCTGCTGTGGCCTTCTCAGTAGATTTCAGTTTATTCTAAAGCAAAGCATCCTTGGGTAGTGAGGTTACATGTTTCCATTGCAAATCAGCAGTAGGATATTTGACACTCCTATTGTATTTAGCTTTATGTATTCGTCATCCAGCTTTCCTTTCCAGTTGGATAATCAGTGCAAAACGGCACCCCTGTTCTTCTACCAAAGTGGGGAATAGAGATGCCTATCACGTCGTCTAGCCTTTAAAGGGACACTAATCAAAATCCACGTGCTCAGTGGCCTTTTACCATAAACATGCATAAAAATTCTCCTGTACTGTAAAAAGTCTTATTTTCCTTAAAATCAGCAGCAACTTTCTAGCAATTGCCTACCAGGGTTTTCCTTTGTGCTCATATTTTCTCCCTTGTAGTTTGTACCCATAATACTCAAATTCAGAGAATGGATTAGTTGATAGTGTAACTGCTCTTTGAAAGCAAATAGATCCCTCTCCCTGGGATCCTTTTGTCCCACTTTTGACCTTTAGGTCTGAATGTCTTCTATTCAGCTTTAAAATGAAATGTCTCAGGATGATGTGCCAGCAGTGCATGGGGACCATTTCCTCAAGGGCTGGCTCCCTCTTGCCTCAGTGTCCCAGCTTGTCGCCTGTGTGATCACCTGGCCAAGTGCACGAGCAACACCTGGAGTGAGGCTGGCACTAAGCTGCTTCTTAAAGGAAAGCCCTGAACTCAGTCTGCCCTTGGGAACTGACAGCCTGTCTTAAACCAGCGTCCCACTTCCTCCTTCCCCACATGAGGAGAGTTCACTGTGGCTCAGCTGGAATTCTCAGAAGAAGCTGGTGAGGAATGTAAGGGCAGGGTCAGCTTTCATGATAAATGTTGTAGTTATTTCCAGATAGTTTACTTGACTGTTTATTTAGAGACTCTTCATGTCTGTATATAGACTCTTGATGTTCCTAAGAGAATCCAGTCATTTTATCCATCGCATGACGTATAGGAGAATTGGGCCCTTATACAAGTAAGCACTGTCGCAGAGAACCAGGGGTTGCATTAAAATTACCAGAAAGGCCACTGTGCAAGAACCCTTTCATCCAACATGGGATGATACTCGTCAGAACCCGGCTGATGCTCCATGTGTATCCATTTAGAATTTGCTGCATGGTACTTTTATATTATTTTAATTATGTTGACCTTCTAGAAAAGTTAGTTCAAATTCTTAATTTTCAGTCAGATGTTGTAAATTCTTAAACCACGGAACCACCTGTCAGGTTAGAACATTAGCAGCTCTCCCAGGGAGGTGAGGCTAAGTCTCCCTTATTCTTTCTCGTATTACACATTATGAACAACAAACGTTCTTAACTGAGAGGTGGCATTTTTTAAGTGAAGATTGATTTCAGGCAAGTGCTGTCATTTTAGAATGAAATTAAAGAAAAATATAATAGGGCTTGAATTTGTGCTCCAGGCACTGAAAAAATTATTCTTTCCCTTAAGACAGTCTAAAGTTAAGTTTTCTATTGGAAATAAAAGATCCCCCCCAAAATTATTAGAATTCATATGTTGCAGACATTGTTTAACTTAAGAAAATAATTTACCAAATAATTAAGAAAATAATTGAAGTAGGCACCTAATCCATGTCTTTGTTGCAAAATAAAGAAGCAAATAAACTTAGAGTTTAAATGGAAAGAGTATGCTGAATGAATTTAATTTCATTAAGTAAAGGTTGTTAACTATAAAGATACAGTAACAAGACAGGATGAGGGCCGTGGTTCTAGCTCCTTCATATCTCTAAATTACAAAGATTCCAAAGCAGGACACTCCCATCAAGCCTGGATCTTGGCACTGACATCAGCTTTTCCTGCATGTCACATTCATGATGTCTTGCATCTCATTGTCTAGTTTTTTCTTTGTTCTTTGTCCCTTGACTCTCAGTTGACTTCAATGTGGTTATACTGAGGTAAGTTACTGCAGCATCTGTTTGCAATTCAGGTTAGTTCCATGATACTAGCAAGATACTTTTCTAATAATCTGTGAAGAGTTTAAAACCTCTCACCCCTGTGAAAAGAAGAAATGTGTAGCCATTGTAAGGGAAGAAGCAACTCAGAGAAGATGTAATTTATGAAGGCCGTGAAACAAGAGTATCCTCACAGGAGTTTGAGTGTGTGTCCTGAGATGACAAAAAGAACAGGATCATTAACTTGGTGCTCCTGAAAACAGTTTGGTTGGAGCCAGTGCTGTCCGTCGGTAGGCAAGTCCACCATAGCAGTCCCCTGGGGACCGCATAAGTGGTAACGAGATGAGACTTGCGGAGGTGGAGTCAGGAGCTCTTTCCCTTTGAATTATTCAGATAGCACCACTGTAAATATCGTTGGAATAAAGACAGTTTCCCTGCCTTTTGACCTTTAGAAGGGGTCCTCCCGCCCCTACTCAGCCATGAGTTGTCACCTGTGACGTGTCCACAGTAGGAGGGGGTACAGGCAGTGGGCAGGCTTCCCTCTCTGGAGTTATGGGGACAGCTGGTTTGGAGTTGACTCTTTTAGCAGTGAGATGATTGAATTTGCTGTTGACCCAGAAAGAAACGGGTGGTGCACACCCTGGCTTCTTACAAATATGGGCCACCACTCCATTCTCAGAAGTACGTCATAGGACACATTAAATTTCTGAATAGCTCAGATATGTGCTATATTGACTCGTTGCTGGTAATGGTCTACTCCACACTATAATATCTCTAGAGCCTACAAGAACCTTTCCAGGTGACCTTACAGAGCTCAAGATTTCCCTTCTCACTGGTCCAGCCAAAGACTGGAGGAAGAAGATAATAACGGACCCCTGTCTGTTAGTTTGTAAACTTCCTCCCTCCTAGATTCGAGGTACAGATGGGGCAGAAAACAAGACTACTGTCAGTATTAGCCAATTTTCTCTCATTTATTTATCCAACAAGTTTTAAAGGGAGCATTTTAAATGACAATGCCAATTGCAGTTCAGTTGCTTTATTTTAGAAGTATTCTTCTGTTCTTCAATTTTTAATGCAAAACCTCTCTATTTTTAGCTGGTTCTTCTCATTCAAAAAAACCAACTGGCTCCAAAGCATCAGCTTCACCATCTACTTCATCCACCTCTTCACGTCCCAAAGCTCCAAAAGAGACAGCTGCTAGCAAAACAGGGACAGTGGGGACCACAAAGGGCAAGAAGAAACCGGGCAAGCAGCCAACAGCTTCTCGCCTGTCCTCAGACAGCTTGACCACTGGAGCATCTGATCTCAAAGGAGAGCCTTCTGAGGCTGGAGCGGAGAGTCTCCAGCCTGAGCAGACTGGCCCCGGGGCCGAGGAACAGAGTGCTGGCAAAGCCAGGCCCACGGTCCCTCCTCCTCCTGTGGCTGCACCACCGTCTCCCCCTGCCCCTCCTCTGCTCCTTGATGATCAGTGTATTATGGCCCCAGACACTCCTGTGGTCCTGGTCAGCGACAGTGCTGACCTGCCCATCGCTACCTTAGACCCAAGTCAGCTCCTTTGGACCGAAGAGCCAACCGACAGAACCATTCTGCACTCAGGCGCTGGCTTAAGTGTCAGCAGAGAAAACGCTAAATGGTGAGTCGGGGCGCAGACCCCACAGTCCCTCTGAATTCTGAAGCTCACTGAAGTATTCTGTTAGTAACAAGGAACCTGGTTTGCTGGTTTGCTTTCCTTTGTCATGCAGTCTGCACACATACCGAGTCCATCCACTGGCTTGGCTGAGCTCTGCCCTGGGGATGCCATGATCTGTGGAGGAAATCACTCCCATATCACGGACAAATGCCGCTACAGATCTGTGATTGTCAAGCACATAAAGAGCCTGGGTCAGCACAGCTTAGCCAGCTCTTCTCTTGTCCCTAGACAGTTTGTTTCTCTTCCCTTATAGTGTTTATTTTAAATCTCTGCCACTTGGGTCCAGATTGCTCACTCCCTCCTGCGCACCTTCATTTCAGTATGTTGCATTTATGTTCCAAGAAATTTAAGACCTTCAGGAAAAGTTTTAAGTTCTGACTCCTTCTCACCCGACTGTAGAGTGGTTCTTCTCTTTGCTCTCTTAATTCTCCATCAGCTTAAATTTCATCTCCTCTGTGGAGCCTTCCAATGCTTCTGGACAGAAGTGACTTAATCTACTATGCTCACAAAAAACCTCTTTCCTCCTGCGTGTGCACCATGTGTCATTGACCTCTGTGGCCTCAGCAGCCAAGTACAGTGTCCAGGACGCTGTAGGAATATTCAGTGGATGGGTATTAAGTTGTTGAATAAAAATGAAAAGGCGACCTAATGGAGGGTCAGGGAAATGGGCCTCCCCCACTGCAGTGGAAGCTGTATTGAAGATGACCCGGATGCTAGATTCTATGCATAGATGATAACAGAAGATAAAAGGCTGTGGTCAAGCAGTCTCAGTTCTGTTGAAGAAGGTGTCCAAATAGTGGACACCTTGGGTTAGTGGCACTGTCATCTGCTTGCTCATTCCAGAAACCCGGAGTTTATCCTTCAGTCCTCATTCTCCTTTACTCCCTCTATCAAGTCACTCACAAAGGCCTCAAGGGCAGGTGAGCCCTCGTTTCCAAAAGGATAAGAAGAGGCTTCTTAGACTACAGTAGATACAGTTTGGTCTAGGAAGAGCTGTGAAAGTCCAGGCTCTTCTCTCCTTATTCTGAAAGTAAAATCTATATTTAATTATCAAGTGTTTCAGTAAGCTCTCTCTCAAGTTTTTTGTCATGTTATAATTTTTTTAAAGTACATTAATTGAGTCGGTTTTGCTCAAGACACTAAAATATTAACTTTAATTAAATTGCTGAAAGATACACGTTGCAAGAACAAATGAAAACCTTCATTTTTTGAGTACTAATGTCAGGAACTAAGTGCTACACACTTGCTACCGTTTAATGTGCCCAAATCTTCCCTGAGGTATCCCAGCTTTATAGATAAGGTACTGGAAAATGGCAAAATAGTTTTGCCTAGTTAATCATGGCAAAGTTCACATTACCTAGTTACCTACCTGGAAGACCTAAATGGAGACCTAGCACTGTACAAGGAATTCCAGACTTTGAATCATTTCCTAAGGTTTCAAAGCAGTGTTGCTTTTACTTCTACTGCTATTTCCTTTCTAATAGTTTACTTCTTTAATTTTGTTTTGAGCAGTATGATTGGAAGGCAAGCCAAGGAAAGTTAAAAGTCGAATTACTTATTTCTCTGACATTTTATTAAAAGATACAGGGAAAAGAAGATATTGAAATGAATAGTCTGTCTCATGCTATGCCTGGGACAAGGTAATTGATAACGAAGAGAAATTTATTGAATTACAGTTCTGGAGGCCAGGAAGTCCAAGGTCAGGTCTTTAGCTATTGGCCAGGGCCTTCTCGTGGCATCAGCACAGGGCAGAAGCAGGACAGTCCAAGGGTGTGAGAGGTGACTCCTCTCTTGTAGGTCCTCTATGTGATGCCATTAATCTGTTCATTAATGCTTTGCCCTCATGATCCAAACACCTTCCATTAGACCTCACTTTTCAGCAATTTACACTTGTCAGCAGTTCAGTTTTCAAGACTTGACTTCTGTGAGGAGATACGTTCAAGCTATAGCAGTGTCCTTAATTCTTCCAGCACAGAGCAAGTGTCTTTCTTTAATTATAGTAATTAGTTTTAATATTGCAATTACTTCGCACTATAAAACTGAACATTTGTTCTTGCAACGTGTATCTTTCCTTCTCTGGGAAATAAATATATTAAGCACAAAAGAACAAAAGTGAGCCAGAGCCAGGCAGACTAGTTCAGAGAAGTTGTTTTGTTTTGGATTTTTTGCTTGTTTATTTTTATCAAAATACTGACCAACCTGTCCAGAGATGTTTAAGACCACATCTGAAATTTTGGAAATAGATTATATAAGTTGATCATTCAGTATACTAAAGAACAAGTGCAATGTGTAAAATTCTTCCTTTGCTAGTCTTAGGCATACAGATGCCCGTGTCCAAAGGTGACCTAATTCTACCCAGTACATTTCCCTAATCCTTAAGACAGTGCATTTTACTATTGTGCTAAGCACTGCACTGCATACTGGGTGCCTACCCATCATCTTCAGCCCTAGTGAGTGAAGAGTTGTCAAGGTAGCTCCAGCTTTCCATTTCTACTGATAGTGTAATCAGAGGGAGCAAGCTTGGAGCATCTTGAGCTACTCAGGAGATTTAAAATAGCTTTTCCTACTAGTCAAGGTAACTAATGCTTTCCTAGAAGAAATCATAGAGATTCTCTTTTCTCTATATGCTTCAGAATTAAGCATTCAAATTATAATTCATTCTACTGGGGTAGTTAGTGTTTGCTCCTGAATTAATGAACTTGGAGTTACTAGTCTTTCTACTTTGCTTCCAAATTCTTTCTTCCTTTTCAAGTGAATATTTGAATTTTTGGCTCTTACTTGTTTTACTTAGAATTCTCCTTGAGTTATATTTAGTCCCCTAATGTGTGAAAAACTGTCGTTTTATGAAAAGTCTTCTGTTTGTAATACAAATATCAAAACTTTAAAGAGGGCAAGTGACTGTGTATAAAAATATCTACCTCTATTCCCATATTACACGGTGCCAGCTCCTTGGGAGATCTCTATTCGTTGGCACCTTTATCAACAACACATGTGTTATACATGTGAGCTGAAACTAATTGGCCCACTTTGAGGCCACATCTACAGTAACTTGTTGAGTCTATTTTACAAGCATTTATGAAATGGTCATGTGTGCTATGCGTACCGGACCTCTATGATGAAAAATGAGATCAGATCAAAAGCATGTGTTCACGCCTACAAATTTAGAATATTTAATATTGAAGTATAACTTTAATAAAATTTATAATAAATGTAAAAGAAAATGTGGCATTTAATAAGTAGACTGAGAGTCCTCAACCTATCTAGGCTTAAGCTGATGGCTTCATTGGGCAGCTGTCTAATGATCCTTGTTGGCTCCATATGTAGTGTAGGACACTTACAACTGTATGTGGGACTCTCTGCAAACTGTAAAATGTTATAAAATACAAATAGTGAGATTAGAATAAATCAGTAGCATACTAAATTTGTGACCAGTGACACAAACAAGTAAGTTCAACTCAGCAGTATCTTTTGTTCTGCTGTTTCCAGAAGTAATTCTTGATTGCTGTGTCCTTTACACATGTCCTTTTAAGCAAGCATGGCTCCCAAGTGAAAAGTCAGACTGTGGAAAAGGTTTTCTATAAAATTAAGTCTTCTTTAAGATATGATTTCCCACTATAGAAGGCAATATAATGGTTCCTCAAAATATTACACATAGAATCTCACCATATGAATCTGGAACTCCCACATCACACCCTATAAATCTGGAATTCCCATTCTGTATATTCAGCCAAAAAAGTTGAAAGGGAATTAAATTAATATGTCAGTGTTCATAGCACTTACAATAGCCAAAAGGTGGAGACAACCCAAATATCCATGATTCATGAATGGATAGGCAAAATGTACATGGATCTTGGATATCGCCCAGCCTTGAAAAAGAAGGAAACTCCAACACATCCCGTGACATGAATGAACCTTGGTGACGTTGTACTTAATAAAATAAGTCAAACACAGAGGGAGGAACATTGCATGCTTTCACTTATATCAGGTACCTAAAACATTTTCAGAGAGACAGAAATTAGAGTGATAGCTGCCAGAGGCTGGCTCCAAGAAGCATGGGGAATTATTGTTGAATGCAGACAGAATTTTGATTTGGAAAAATGAACAAGTTCTAGAGATTGTTCTTCACACATGGTCAGCGTACCTAATTACCACTGACCTGTACCCTTAGAAATGGCTAGAATGGTTGCTGGTAAACTTTATGCTGTATATATTTCATACAGTAGAAAATGAGATTTCACGTGTCCTTCTGGGAACAAGTCGTTGGGCTGTTGGGTTTTGCTAGGTGAAAAAGAGAATGGCCAGAGTAGAGTTATTCTTTCTAAAGAGTGATGTCTAAATGTGGGTTCTTATGCTCATCTCAGAAAGCATTTAGGGAGGTCTTCTGTATCTTAAAAATGATGATAACATTGTTTTAGATGCGAAAGGATTTTCGTTGTTTTTTGTTTTGTTTTTGAGACAGGGTCTTGCTCCCTAGTTCAGGCTGACCTTGAACTCACGATGTAAACAAGACTGGCCTCAAACTCAGGCTAATCTTCCTGTCTCAGCCTCCCAAGTACTGAGATTATACACATGTGCCATCACACCTGCCTGATGTGAAAGATTTTTTATGTCAATTATATTTTTATTGTAATCTTTGGAAGTTTACATGTGTTGTATGTGAGAGGAACTCCTTAAACCAGAGACCCTTACCTACATAGATAACAAAAAATTATTGCATCCCTGTACATCACCGAAGAGTTCATGTAACTTTTACCCTTCCCATTTCATATTAGTACTATAACTCAGTGAGAAGCAGTTTTACAAATAAAAAAAACAGGAACACAGAAAGGATAAGTGACGTTTGACTGTTGCTATCTAGGCTGGGATGAAAATGCGACTTACTCATATGTTAATGACAGATGAGGCCCCTTCTCAGTGCCGCAGTGCTGGGATGCAAAGCAGTCAGTCCCACCCAAGGCCCTTGTGGGGCTTACGATGCAGACTCGTGAGGGGCAGTCAGGTACAGTGGGCCAAGAACTCCAATGGCATTGTCTTCAGGTCACCTTGGGAACAGACAGGCTGGATGAGGAACTCAACCAGGCCCAGGAAAGATTGCTGAAACAGGTTTACCACGTTCATTTAGTAAATATATTAGACACCACCCAGTGTAGCGTTTTCATTTATCAGAAAAGAATGTCAGACCCTGAGAATGAAGTAGCAGCCCAGCCTTTCCACTTCAGTGATGTTAGGTGACCTAAGCTTGGCTTCTCCTTTCCCAGACTGAGGATGCCTTTGACAGTGAGTCCCTTTCATGGTGTTGATGTCACCAAGGGTTGCTCTGAGCCTTTCATCACCCCGTGTTTTTCTTCCCTTACAGTTTCACCACCAAAGATGAGCTGGAGAAGGCCGCCTCTCACCTTCTGACCCCGGGGCTGATGGGAGAATCTTCAGAGTCCCTCAGTGCCCCAGAGGACGAAGGCACCAGGGAGTACCAGGCCAATGACTCTGACTCAGATGGGCCCATCTTGTACACTGATGACGACGAGGAGGAAGATGAGGACGAGGACGGCAGTGGAGAAAGTAAGATCCCTTTCAGGAAGGAGGGAGGTGAAGAGAAGCAGCTGTGTATTGTAAGCCAGGAGCCTCATTAGCAACCTGATGTTTTTCTTCCCCTCATCTTTCCACATGAGAAATGTTTCTGTCCTAAAGTTTAGCTTGAGAGGAGAGAACAGGTGTTTCCAGAAATGAGGCCACAGGGCTGGATCAGGCCTTTGCAGAGGAAGCGGATGTGCAGGGAATGAAAGCGTTTAAGGAGCGCGACCTCTCTCAGGGAGATCAGAGGCAGCCCTCGGCCTGGGCCTGTTCTTGCAGAAAGAGCATCAAGCAGGAGCCGCTGACTGCACTCATCAGAGTGCTGGGGGCCAGCACTCACTTCTCTCTCACAGAGAAGAGACACGCATATTCAGGAATAACGAATACCTTAAAACTTTTTCTTGCTGCGTGTTTGCAATACATAATGATTGCACTCCTTGTGGAGAATTGGTTAATGTACAGAACACGTCTCAATCCTTTTTCCCCTCTTCCTCTTACCTCTTCCTTCCTTTGCCAGCATTAGATTCATTTATTTATCTTACAAGTTCTTATAAAGTTAATTATCCTGCATACAGCTTAACAGCCATACTAAGGGACGAAAAAATACATAAAATACATAATACAGTTGTAATAAACTAAGACATAATTTCAGATATATTATCCATGCTGGATTACAACAGCCTTTTTTCTCTCTTTTCTCCTATTGTTTGTCTTTTATTTTGCACTTTAGTTATATATTGATTTCTCATGTAAGAGAAAATATGCAATATTTCAGCTTTTGTGTCTGATTTACTTCACTTAACATTACGGTCTCAAGGTGCATCCATTTTCCCACAAATGTCTCAAGTTTATCTTTCTTTATGGCAGAGTAGTACTCCATTGTATATAATACTGTACCAGAGTTTCTTTATCTAATCATTTGTTGATGGACCTATAAACTTCTTCCAAGATTTAGCTGTTATGAATTGTGCAGCTGTAAGTAGGGATATGCATATGTCACTGTGGGATGATAACTTTTAACTCTTTGGGGAAGGTTCCTAGAAGGGAGACAGGGGAGTCAAATGGAATTCCTAGTTTCAATTTTTTGAGGAATCTTGTGGATTCCCATGGTGGTTTTACCAGCTTACTTTCCCACTAGTTTAGTTTCCCACAGCCTCTGCAGCGTTTGGTATTGGTTCTTTCATTGATGATAGCATTGTTTCTGGAGTGTCAGTTGAAAGCTATCTTTTTAGCACTAAAAACAATCACTCATCCACAAAAGGTAGAGGAGTAACCTACCAGGAAAGGACAGCTCTGAAGTGGAACAGAGCTCACCCTCTATGTGTAACTTGGAGAGTTAGAAGGTGCCACTACGTTTCAGGAAGTTTTGAGCAGCATGATTGGGAGGAATTTATAAACATGAAAAATCATTACTAAATAGTGATGAAATAGAAGTTTGTCAAATTCCCTCTAATATGAACAAAGCCAAAATAAATAAATGATTATCATCTATTTGGTAGAGGTTTTGCTTTGTTTTGTTTTGTTTTAATGGTAGTGGGAGCCTGGAGTGGAGCTTGCTCCAGCCTCGAGCAAGCCAGGAAAATGTGCTACCATGAAGCTCCATCCCAGTTCCTGGGATGAGATCCTAAAGTTCTTCAATAACTGGAGGTTAAACATTAATATAAACAATAGACTCTGCCAGCAGGCTGTTGAAAAGAGGAATGGGAAAGACAAGGATTAGCTGTACCAAATAAGGGAAGAGAATAACTTTTTCAGGCTTGAAAAAGGAAAGAAAGAAAGAAAAGCCATTGTGCAATCAGTGGTTTCCACTATGTCAGGAAAAATAAACGTCAGCTGACTCCAAAGGCTGAGGTGATAGTTTGATTTTTTAAAATGGTGCCTCAGAGTTTTTCAGAATGTTTGGAAAATAGTTCTCCATTGTGTTTTTCAAAATGAACTACATCCAACTCAAAAATCTTCTTTCCCTTAGGTGAGCTAGGGTTCCCCTCTTGCACGTGGATAAAGAATTTCGCCTGGTCTTGTTTAAAATGCATGCCAGGAATAACCTGAGTGCTGCTGGATCAGTGCTGAATTTCTGCCTTTTTTTGATCCTCAGGTGCTTTGGCAAGTAAAATACGGCGAAGGGATACTCTTGCTATCAAACTTGGCAACAGACCATCTAAGAAGGAGTTAGAGGACAAAAATATCTTGCAGCGGACATCTGAAGAAGAGAGACAGGAAATCCGACAACAAATTGGAACCAAGCTGGTCAGGTAATCGCTGGCACTTTAGTTCAGCACTTACTAATTCATACTTGTCTTTCTGCCCAGATTTTGTTCCTAGCTGGGATCATTGTGGATTTCTTGTGTTCCGGGGAACTTGGCCCATCAGGCCTTCTAAAGTTGGTCTTGGATGGTGAACCATTCAAAGAATCTGCCCTTTGGTCAGTGGGCTTGGTGGCTTGCAGGTTGCAACACCTGCTTTAATAAGAGGGATCAACAAGATTTTAATACAAAGACCCAATTTGACTGTTTTCAATTTTGCAGGGCCAGTCAGTCACCATTGCAGCTAATTAACTGTGCTGTTACAGTAGTTTAAAAGAAGACATAAATGTATAAGCAGATGAATATGTCTGGGTTCCAATAAAACATTATTGACTAAAAAAGATGGCACATAGGATTTGGCCCGCAGACCATAACATTAGCCAACCCATGGCCTAATCCTGTGAATGCAAATTGGGCTCTGCCCTGTGGGCTCTGAGCCTCAGTGACCTAGCTTCGTCCAAGTCAGGCAACCACAGCTCCTAGCAAAACCTTCCACATTTAACTTGAAGCAAATGGATTATCTGACATCTCCTGTTGTAGAATTTCTGCTCTTGCCACGTGTGACTTAGAGGCCCATTTAACTGGCAGTTTTGAGAGAAGTGAACATTCCCACCAAGGCTCTTGTTTCTGATGGTCACTTTGAGCATATGTGAGCACTGTCATTCTGCCAACTTCCCTTTCTCTGCGTGCCCACCATCTGCATAACTGGATGAAGGAAACAGTCTGGAACCCAAGAACAGAATTTGGAGGTGGAGGAAGCCATTGTTCTTGCCTGACAGGGGAAGATTGTATGACCAGAGCCTCCCTGGAGGGTGGGTACAGGGCTTCTGGAGACCTCTGGCTATTATTCCTCCACAGGAAGAGGGGCCCCAGGAACTCCCTGTGGTAAGACAGGGAGAAAAACTTCAGAGACAGCAGCTGTCTGAGGAGAAGCTTGGCACAGGACAGAGTCCTCCTAACCTAGGGCTCTCCTCAGCACTGTGGGAGAAGCTTCGAGGAGTTTACCAGTGGGCTCTTTCACTTCAGCCCCAAACTTTACTGTTTCCAACTTCAAGAAAGAGTGAGCATGATAAAAAGAACTAATGTGGCTAAAAGATTCAAATCAGAATGCCTCACAAGTCAAACTTTTCATCTTCCCAGGTAGAAATCCCTCTGAGGCCCAGGGAGATTGAGGAAATTTCTGAAGGATGTGTAGTCACTTGGGCCAGAACCAGGGCTAGAATTTCTGTTCCTGTGCTTTCTGCCCAATCTCCTTTGTTTTTTATAGTCTACTGATTTATACCTTTTATACCATGTAAGAGCAGTGTATGCTTCTAAGTGTTTTGATTATTTGTTTTATTGCCCTTTTTATATTTTGCTATGAATAAGAATTTAAGTAATTGAATTGCTATGAATAAGAATTTAAGTAATTGAATATTTGCATATAGGAAAATACAAATAGGACGTGTCCTTTAAAAATAAAGAACATCATTATAGTTTATCATAGTAAAGGATAAAAAAATACCATAGCATATAACCATCTCAGTAAATATCAAGGTGGCATTAAAGAAAATCTTGTGTTATTTTCTTAAAATCCTAAACAAATCAGGATAGTTTTTTAATTATGATAAATATTTTAGTATAGGGAGAAACACTAAAATTATTTCCTGTAGAAACAGAAGTGAGCAAAGAAAGGTTCCCCATTCTTCTTACACTAAAAATCTAGTTTAAAATGTTTTCAGTAAAAGAGGAACAAATTACAGGCAAGAAATATTGATATTATATTTAGTTGTATACCTAGAACACTCCAAAGCACTAACCAAAAATTGCTACATCATAACTTCAGCAGGTTCACAAATGTAAGATTAATGTATATAAATCAATATATTTATGTTATGGACATATAGCAAGAGAAAACAATGAAAAAGAGAGTTGCATTTACAGTAGTAGCAACAACCATATTTTAAACACTCACCTAATCATTTAACGTATGGCTCAAGAAATCTAGGTCCAGAAAACCATGATGGAAGAAACAAATAAGCAGAGAGAGCAGGGAATAAGCATTTCTATCAGTGAGGAGGATTCAACAACCAGGTTCACCAAGTGTGTGCGTGGCACGAACCTTGAAGGGTATGGACCCAGGCCATCAATAACAGATTCATTCTATATAATGAAACCACACAGAAATAAATAACATCTCTTCCAGTGTGAGCCAAAGGAAGATCACCCACTGAGACAGGATGAGGCACCCTTTGCAGCAGGTTTGGAAGATAGATGGTAGGGGCTGTGGTACAGTTAATGAGAACCCCCGGGAGAGGTGGCTGTTCAGAATCGCAGTGTGTGGGCCAGGGGCGCAGCTCAGTGGCAGAGCACTTGTCTAGATTTGAGAGGTCTGGATTCTGTCCCAGCGCTGGCAACGGAGTCACAGTGTGGGCTTTTCCAGGCCTGGCGAAAATACTGACAGATAGACGCTATCTGAAACAAGGCAAGAGACAGCTCTTGCTTGCCTGCCTCTGAACCAGACAACTATCCCGAGAGCTCGTGTGGGGTAAATGAGATAATATATTATGGTTGTCTAGTGCCTGTGTCACAGCCAGCAGCTGATAAAGTTAAATATGTCTTACCATCAATTTAAATTACTCCTCATGTTGAAACTAGCAGAGCACATTTTAAAATTAAACCCAGCGTTAGCAAGTTTATGAGAAAAGAGGACGCACATTGTCCTTGCTTAGTATTTCTGAAGAGCAGTTTAATAATAGAACAAGAACCATAAAGCCGGCTTTTTTTTCTTTGCATGTTAATTCCATTTGGAGAACTGTAAGGAGGAAATAATTCAAAAATACTTTTTTAAAACTTTGTTTTACAAAGATGTTTATTGTGACAAATTAAACCAAGTGATAAAAAAGGGATTTTGATAAAGAGCATTGTGGGAAAATAGTACTGTGGAGTCTCAGAGAGTGTCAGTTCCTAACTTCTTCATCAAGAATTCCTGGGGATTCCACAGGGAGTCACAGGGAAGTGGAGGTGTTCATTTAGGGTGGGTGAGTGAGGAATTCTCTGTCCCAAGTCTCACTATCCAATTAAGATAGCACCTGTCTTTTGTGAATTAAGATTTCCTGCACCCCCCCAAAATTTGAAAATCTTTATAAGTATACACACATATTATATCTGTAACAACTTTATGGCCGGGATATAACTCAGCAGTACAATGCCTGTCTGGCAAGCAAGAGTTCATGAATTCAATTTCTGGTGCCAAAAATATATATATATATTTATTAACATGTATGTTTTATATAATTGTTTTTCAATGATAAATAGCACAATTAATATCTGGCATTCAAAGATGAGTTACTCGGAGTTGCAGTTTTAGGATATTTGAAAAGTCTACGTCAGAGGATGTAGGTAGGGATTCTGGCTCTGGCATTCACTAGTGTTTTATCTTGGCAAGTTATCTGTCATTTTCTACTACGTGAGAACAGCCTGCAACCATACTGAATTGTTTTGAGGACTGCAGATATAAGATATATAAGTTAAGTGCCTAGCACAGTACCTGGGACTTTAAAAGTAAAAATTAAAAGCAGCTGTGATGATTTTTGTAATTATCCATAATTTGTGAATCCTTTAGTACAGGCATAGTCGTGTGCAACCACTGTATATGGGCAGAGAAACAGATTTGACTTTTTTTTTTTTTTTTTTGGTCTTTTTCCTTTTTATCGGTACCGGGGATCGAACTCACGACTGCCTGCTTGCAAAACAGGCACTTATGCCACTGAGCTAAATTCCAGCCCCCAGATTTGACTCCTTACTAGAAGGGTCAAACACCTGCCTTCAAGGTACTATTTTAGTCATTTAGTCATTTGTAAGATTTTACTAGTGGAGGAAGGAGAGGATGACGCAGAGAAAAATTCCATCAACAGCAGAGCAGGATGGTACAGCTGAGGCAGAAAGTAGAGTCCAGTACATTGGCCATGCAGACTTGCGGCACAGGGATGCGGGTATATGAAGGGCACAGGCCTGATGGATGGAGACAGAAATATTCCCTGGGTTCTTCATGGGCTCAGTTACTTGATCTAATACCAAGGTAGCTCTGATGAAGACTGACCTTTAACAGAATCTTAGTGAGACATTTGAAACAGAATTGCTTTCATTCTTTTTTTTTTTTTTTTTTTTGTCTTTTTCCTTTTTATCGGTACCAGGGATTGAACTCACGACTGCCTGCTTTCAAGGCAGGCGCTTATGCCGCTGAGCTAAATCCCCAGCCCCAATTGCTTTCATTCTTTAGGACATTTCTGTCCCAGTCACAATGTTTAGAGTTGATAGTATCTCATATTAGGAATGCCTTTCATATCTGTTAGTCTAATTTGCACTGAGTCAGCCAGCAGCCTAAAGAAGGTTTTCATTGTAATTAACAACAATTCAGTCACGTGAACAAGACCAAGAGCAAAGTTATAAAGGGTTATTAGGACCTTCTATGAATGTATGAATAGATAACTACGAACGGCAAATAAATCCTGATTATTTTGAAGACAGAAAAGGAGGAACTTTCTATCACAAATCATTTTGTATCATGGATTCCTTTGAGGTCCCAAAAGCAGTATGTCACTTAAACGCAACGAGTCTACACCCACCCAGTGGTTCCTAAATTGGCACGAACTCTTGAGAGTGACTGATTTTAGACTTGAATGACCTGCATATTAATTAGGCTATCCACTGCTAGGCTGCTGTGCCAGACCAACAGTGCAGAGGTTCTAATAAGGTATATTTCTCTCTTTTCCACCTAATGACCCAGAGGTGGCCGAGCTACCCAGCATAGGTGCAGAACACAGCTCCCACAAGGCAGTGCAGCACCCACGTTTCATAAATCGCCTTGAACAGTCTCGTCTGCATGGTCAAAGCTGGCTTCTGTCACCACACTCAGGTTCTGGCCTCTGGGTCTGCGTGGTCAGAGCTGGCTCGAATCACTGTATCTCGGTTGTAGCTCTAGGATAAGGGAAAGGGAAAGAAGGGGGCACATAGTCATTTTAAGGGTGAGCAACACCTTACTTTTGTCCCATGGCAAAAACGTAGTCACATCGCCCACCTGGCTGGCAGGTACCCAGCTCAGCCTCAGTTCTGTTTCTAAGAGGAAGAGGAAGAATGGACACTGTGGGGGGCGAGTAGCAGTCTCAGCCAGTCAGGAGTCTCCAAGCTGATGGAAAGGCAAGTTTCGTTTTATTGATTTAAATAGATTTTTAGTTCTCCAAACATAAAGAAAGCATGCTTTGTTACTGTACTTTGTGTCTCATTTTTAATGCATGGTATATTCTTTGCCATCATAGGAGACTCAGCCAAAGGCCCACAACTGAAGAACTGGAGCAAAGAAATATCCTAAAACGTGAGTGTTCAGTGCTAGAAAATGCCTTTCAGGAGCTATTTAATGAGCTGCCACTCATCAGGAGGGAACCATCAGCTTCAGTTTACTCAAAACTGACTGAAATGGCTTATTTGTGTTATATATAGATAGTGTTGTGGTTTAAAACATAATTTCTTAAATTTTGTACTTCATTTTATAGTTTTGAGCCAAATTTCTCCCAGACTAGAATTGTGCCCATAATCATTATTTTTGAGAAAGATGAAATATAGTCCATGTATTCTTTCATCCAAATGTCACCTGGGAGAAAATAGTCTACTGCAAATAAATATCAAAGAAAAGCCCAAAGAATCTACAAGGAAATAAATCAAACATTCCATTATTATTAGTACTAATACAGTTTGTTGCTAGGTTTCACAAACTGCATGGTTTAAAACTAAATTCTAGTGAGAGGAATTTTTGAGTCCATTTCATTTTTGTTTGTTATGATAACTCTGGTTCCCTCTTGAGTTATTTAGAGTTCTTCAGCATGCGAAACACTCATTTTCCTACTTAACTTTTCCATTCTGTCTTTCCTTCTAGTCTCTTTGGTGGTGTAGTATAGAATAAAACCCCAGGAGAAACACAGTTGGCCATGTCATTGTATATCGATGTAAGTTAAGAAGTGGGTGGTTTCAAATGGAGCCTGGCTGTAGTTTTCTCTATTAACCCAGTTTCCAAAGCATTTTCCTATTATAGGAAATATTGAAGACCAGACATGGGCAGAACTGCAGGTAGCACTAACTGCAGTATGGCTAGCCACTGGCCACAAGAAATCCTTTCCATCCAAGCCTGCAGAGTTCGCATGGCCTGCTTATGACCTGTATTTTATTACAGTTGCCACAACCACGCAGCCCCACAGTGCAGATTCCACAGTGGGAGGAGCACCCGCTACCCAGTCTGTGGGAGCTTTTTTTCCTACAAGCTTTTTTTTGGTCTGTTTTTGATCTTAAGTGAAATAGAACCCAAGACAAGATTTAGGTGCTTGTCAGTGTGTAGAAGTACCAGCCTGAAAGAGGGAAAATTCATGGCTAGAAATGAAGGATCAATTTGTCTTAGTTTTTCCGAGAGATGGTGAAAGCAACATCTAATTTTGACAACCGGACAAAACCCCAAAGCTTTCGTGATGGATTCCTGAGAACTGTTTGTTGAATTAAACATTTAGTGAGCTCAAATGCAGAGAGTTAAGTTCTGTACCCAGAGATAATGTCTTACTCAGTGCTTGACGCAATACCTAAACAAAATGGGGAGCGCAAATCCCGAGTAATTCTTCCCTGCTCCTGTGGGGAAAGGAGCCAAGCCACACTGGAGTTTGGTTATTTGAAGAACGATTTCATGGATCCGGAAATGTGTTGCATGTTGATCTTAAGTGCTGCGTTGGCCTGAGTGCCCTCTTTTTTCCTGGAGGTTCAGAAAGGAGGAAAACACTGAAATCAGCCTCAGATTAGACTCACACCTTTTTGACTTCCTTCTAAGTTCATGTTGATTCTGGAAACAAAAGGCACATTTCCAGTGTGGAGAGGCTGATAACTGGCTGAGAGTCTGCTGATGCAAGGCTGTCTGCAGACAGAGGGGGGGAGGTTCTTTCCATCCACTTTCCCAAGCGTCCTGCTCTACAGTTACAGCAGTCACAAGCAGCAGAACAGCTTTTCTTAGGAACACTGACTCAACCCAGTGGCCTCTGGGTTCTTCTACGTAGATTTCTCTTGCTTGTATGTTCCATCTCTAGCTCTTGTTCAAAAGGAACATGATTGATGCTTTGAATAAAAGTCTGTATGTGTTTTTAAAGACACTTACTTTAGCTGAGTGTGGTGGGGCTTGCCTGCACTTGGGGGGCTGAGGCAGGAAGATTGCCAGGGCCAGGCTGGGGATGTAGCTTAGTACAAAGGCCCTGGGTATCCCCAGTACTCAAAACCAAAACCAAGCACTAACACACACACACACACAAAATAAACAAAAAAACCCCACCTTCATAGAAATATGTAAAACCACAAAAAGAAAAACAAATCTGTAGGCCTATGCCCTTTTATGAACACAGTTTATCTGAATTGATGCCTCAAGACTGTAATAATATTCCACTTGCTGGTACTGCTCTGCTGTACTGTTCTTTTGGCTCATTATAAAATGCCCGGGCAGCCCTGGTAGCCCAGCAAGTTTCCTGTGATGTGTGCTGCTGTTAAACCACAGGCATTGTTTTTGTGTTACGGGAAATGCTTCCTGGCTGTTTTACAATGTCCACCCCTCTGGGTACGGTACTGAGAACAAAATTTATCAATGAGCTATGTCACTTCCTTCATGAATATCCCTTCAGTTTCTTTAAAGGGCCCACAGAAGTTTATATCCTACCTTACAATTCATCCTCTAATGAATTAAAAAGTTGTAGAAGCTGGGAGTGATGGTGCACAGCTGTAATCCTGGCCCTCTGGGAGGATCACGAGTTTGTACCTAGCCTGGGCAATTTAGAGGGACCCTATCTCATTGTAAAGGCCCTAGGACCAGTCCTCAGTGTTAAAGGGGAAAAAAGTAATAGAAACGTGCAAAAAGCCGGTGAACTTTTAAATGCCGCGGTTAAATTTAACCTTGCCTCTTAGTATGAGATTTTACGTGACTATTTTAGTGGCAGAGGAATAGTTAGATTGCCATTTCTCTGCTTCTTTCTCCAGCTTCATTAAAAGTATAGTTTTGAACATGGGAAATGTAAAGAAGTCAGACCCTGATGTCATAAAATAATATCCAGTTGGCACAATCCTGTAGTCGGTTGCCCCTTTTTTTCTTAAACATTGCTGGCTGACAGAGTAAAGCAAAACGGTTATTCCCTTCAAGGGGGTGACATTTTGCATAGTAAATGAAAAAGGTAGCAGGTCTTAGTTGAGGCTACAGTAGATATCCGTTTTTGTTATTGTTAGTATTTTTCTTTGAAGAATACTCTTAAAATGTAGCCTAACAACTATATAGGGGGAATTGAATAGAGTGTTGTAAGGATTATATTTTTCTTTTTATTAATAATAGTGTCAAAATCTTTCCCTATAAAGTCTTGGTTTTAATCACAAGAACATGTGTATCTGTTATGTGTAACTGATAATTCACAAGCTTTATACAACTCATGTAATTATTTGAATCTCTATATTTTAATGGTATAAAAAGATTCATTATTTTGAAGCAAATGAGAAGACTCAGAGTATATTCTTAGTAAGAAATTTAAATTACAACGCAACTTGTTTGATATTTCATGTATTTTTTGTCCCATGGTTGATTTTAATTTATATTTACTATATTAACAACTTTTTTATTAATAAAATTATCCTTATTCTTATTAATAAAAATTAATATTTAAAAGGAATAAAGATACTCCTATCCAGAAAAAGAAAAGTTTATAGAGAATGTAGTGTATCCAGCTAAAAGAAATTGTGAATATTAAATATATATTTTATTCATAAAAATAATCAGTGTTAGGAAATCTATTTGAATGCTTAGAAACAATTATCCTTTCATATTAGAGATTTCTTCAGCTTTTGTGTTGATCCCTTGTACAATGTGATTTTCCTTCTGTATAGTTTATGATAGCACTTCTTAAATATAGCATTGGCATCTAAGCATTGACATCTAAGTGGTAAAATGTTCATTTATTAAAGAGATAAAAAGCTGCAGGACATAACAAAGCTCCCCAAGTAAGCACCAGTAAAACCCAAAGCAGTGTTTGTTTCTTTAAAAGTTGTGGACATTTTTTAAAAACCCATCTGCTAGCATTAAATTGTACTACTCAGTGAAACACTAGAGAAGGAAGACTTTGGAAAGTTAAAGTCATGAGAAAATAAATAATTTCCACCCATAGTGTGCCATAACCCCATTCAGAACCTTCTGGTTTGAAAGCAGAGGCCAAAGAAATGCTTACATTCTGCTTCTATGGAAACTGAGAAAGACAAATGAAATATTTTGGTTGGATTGGAATGGGAATCAGCAGTCAGACACACATCGGATGGTTCTGATTTGCTCTTCTAGTACGTCTCAGGTTTCTCACATGAAGCCAGATGCAAAAGTAAAATTTTCTCAAGTCTGGTAAATTGTACTTATGGACCCAGGAGATGGCCAGCAATAGAAAGGAGGCATTCACCAGAGTATGGGCTCGCTTATGTTTTGAGATTTTTTCTTTTTCTTTCTTCTTTTTTTCCCTTTTCTTTTCAAAGAATAGCAAAAAGGTTTAAAATTAGTAAATCAGTTTTACAAGGAAAAAAATGTATGTGTATACAAATATGTATGTGAATCTGTATATGACCAATCTTTCTGAAAAATCTTCGCCAACTTTTTAAAGATGTTAGCAGAGTGTTTGATCAGTATCTGTTAGAGGCAAACAGTTGTGGCCTGATAGAATACTCTGATTATAAAATTATCATTAGTAACTAAATCATTGTGCCTTTCTTCCCTCAATAAACAGAAAAGAATGAAGAAGAAGAACAAGAAGCAAAAATGGAACTTAAGCGTAGACTCAGCCGGAAGGTGATGACATTATAACTGTTAATGAATGTGTGTGTTGAGACATATTTTTTAAAAATATAAATCCACTCCCCACATGGAAATCTGATACTTAGGAAAAGTTAGTTTTCTTCATCTGCTTAATCATCATGGACACTAAAATCATCATAATATATACAATATAATTACGCATATTATGTTAATTTTAAAAAGGTAAAGGGTTTTCAGTTAATTTTGAATTTCATGTTAATTTTAAAAAGGTAAAGGGTTTTCAAAATACATATTCTGTATCAAAAACTTTTGAGGCATAGAAAGGAACAAAAACCATCCCACAGAGATCTTCCATTTAGAGAGCCATGATTAACGTTCCAGTTTGAAAAAGAACAGCTTCAGGGGCAGGGATTTAGCTCAGTGGCATAAGCGCCTGCCTGGCAAGTATAAGGTTGTGAGTTTGATCCCCAGTATAAAAAAAAAAAAAAAAAAAAATTCACCCCTCCCCATTTAATCTGGAAATGCCATTAAATGACAGAGGATTGTGAGGCAATTTTGTGACGATTCACCACTGTTCCGTATCAGATCTGACTAATTTATTAGGGAGCTGGACCATTCAACTGGCACTCCCCCAGTTGACAAATGGCTTCCTCCTAAAACTCAGGCCACTGTTCCCATGTATTTCATGAAAATATAAATCTGAGTCCAGGAATGACATTTTTTGTGTAAAATAATAGTCTTTGGAAAAATTAAGCACCATTCATACGTCAACGTTAACCCTTGTAACAATCCCTCAGATAGCCCTCTCCTACCTGCACAAGGCAGGATGACTAAAGTATGACACTGTCAAGTGAGTGGCCTGACACATTTTTGAGGCCTATGTGTGGAGTTCCCAGCAAAAGCAATCTAAGGTGGGGACAGGAAACACCCCATTACCTATGGAAAGGTTTTAAGGCCGGGATTTTTGTTTGTTTGCTTCTCCAGAGGAGACCCTTAGTTCATTTCTTTTGTTCTCAAAGCGCCTCCTGTCAGATCATGCCCGGGCTGAGAGGCCGTGTGAGCTGTTTCTGGGGACGGCTCTGTGGTGGATGGTGGCCCTGAAGTCACCTGCTGCAGACAAGCAGTAGCCCTGTTGCACTGCTCAGGGGCAGACCTGGGACACACGGACCCTTTCTTCAGTCCACCTGGGTTCTGGATGAGGCAGAGCTCCTCTCTCCCCATCCCCATCATCCAGGGCCTTCTGATGATGGTGCAGGTCCTCCTCATTTCCTCTCCGCCCCAGAGACAGGAGGAAGCCAGAGAGAAGAGGATTGGGTGACACATCAGATGTAACAAAACTACTTAGTCTGTTCCCAGCTTTCCCGTTGCCTGCCAGGGCTCCCTGTGGATGGAAGGAGCTCAAGTTGCCGTATCCCAGCTCACATGGGCCTAGGATATGAATCCAGGCCTTCTAAGAGTCCTTACAAGCTTCACTGTTACAGCATTAACTTTTTTCTTTTGGTGTTTTTGTTTTTTGGATATAGGGTCTCACTGTGAAGTCCATGCTGGTCTTGACTTCACTGTGTAGCCCAGGCTGACCTTAGACTCATGACAGTCCTCCTGCCTCAGCCTCCCAAGTGCTGAGATTAGAAGTCTGCACCACCATGCCTAGCTCAGCATTAACTTAATTCAGCCTCTGGTTTTACTCGGGAGGAAACTGAGGTCCAGGAAAGGAGCTGTTTTTGACTTCACAGCATCTGCAGAGTGAATTGTGTGTGAGCTTATGCCAATAAGGGCTACCTCTACAGAGGACATAGTCTAGGTGTGTACAGAGTATATATAAATGTGAAAAGAGTCTGAAGATAGACTTTCTAGGCCTTGGAACCTGTAGGTCAGAGGAACCTATAGCAAGCATGCCACAGTGGGCTGTTGATGATCATTAAAAGCCCTAAAAGGTTCACCCTTAACTGCTCTAGGTAGAACAAAAGCTTGGATCCTCTTGTCTGGAAACACTCCAAGCTGAAGGAAGCCCCATAAGGGGGTGAAACTCAAGCGAACAGAGTAGATGTTGCCTGACAGCCAGGAGCCTTGGTGTCTTTGTTCTGTCATAGTTGTTTTCCTCTGATTCATGGGCTTGAGGAAAGACCAAGAGATGAACGCCAATCCCCAAAGGACCGACCAGATTCAGGAGAATTATTGGAATTGTGTAGAGGCCAGAAGGAAGAACCTGTCAAGGAGAAATGTTAAAAGATGGCGGCAAGTGTGACTCTGCAGCAGTCCTGCCCTCTTGCCCCCAGGACAGCTTTTCTGGCCAGGGGTTCACGTCAGCACCAGGCTTGTGTCCTCCTTTTCTTGGGAAGGCTGTGCTTACTCTCACTGCTGTAAGTTTCACAGCTCTTGTCCCTGTCACTCAGCCATTCTGCTGCTGGGTTACCTTCCTTTGGGCATCCCTGCTGGTCCTTGTAGTAGAACGGACAGGCAGGCTTTTATCTCAGTGCCCGGCAGGCGGGGAGAAATAACACAATGCAGATAGTTGCCAAACACTATGACCTATCTAACAGTGATAGTTTTTATAGTCTCAAAAATTAGGGCACGCTGCTTTCTAGCTCTCATTACAAATTCCCAAGACGCCTACTGCCTTTTTTTTTTTTTTCCGATATCTGAAAGTGACCTTATTTAACCAAATTTTGAAGTGTTCTGTGTAGAAAACTTGCCACCACGAGGCTGGAAGTGGTTTTCTCATCTCTGCCTTTCCCCTCCTCTCCTGCAGCTTAGCCTGCGACCCACAGTAGCAGAGCTGCAAGCGCGAAGGATCCTGCGGTTTAACGAGTATGTTGAAGTCACCGATTCTCCTGACTATGACCGCCGGGCAGACAAGCCCTGGGCCAGGTTGACGCCTGCAGACAAGGCAAGAGCCCCATGACTGTCATACTGACTGTGACTCTTCACTGAAAGCTCAGTGTTCTCTTATCCTCCGCTTAGTCATCCAAGGCCACCAGATCTAAGCAGATAGTCCAAAACATCTCTCTCTGATTTTTTAAGCCACTTAGATGATATACTTAATGATAACAATGGAGTTCTTTCAATGCAATCTCAGAAAAACTAGTTCTCAGTTATCATGTGAGCTGTCTTCATCCAAACCTAGATAAGGAGGGCTTTTCTGATAGCCAGGATATATTCTTGGTCTTTGAAAATATAACTTATAGGAGTTACCATTGAAAAAAGTATGTTTCAATGGAAACATACTTGGAACATTCATGGAAAAGGTATTGATCTGTATAAGAAATGGCATATTTTTTAAATAAATGGCTTGAGAGAAGATATTTTAGGGCTTGTGATCTGCACTATTTTTTCTTTTTTTTTTTTCATAGTTGTTCAGCCATTATAGATTAAAACCAGCCAAAGACGACATCATTGAAGGATGCGTATGTGTTCCCATACAGCATTTTTGCAAAAACAGGTAACAGGCCAGTTTTAGCCTGCAGGCCATAGCTTGCTGATACCTAGTATATATCATGGCTCCTAGTTCTAGAAAATGACATACAGAGGATTCCATCGTACAGAAAGACTTGGTTTGTTCATTTGTTGGTTTGCTTTTATTGGCCCTGAAGATCCAACCCAGGGCCTTACACATGTCAGTCAAGCACTCTACCACTGAGCCCAGGCATCCTCAAAAGTATTTTATGAGTATTCTGGTTCTGTATCTAAAGACTTATGGTAACCATTCACTTTCAAATATTTTGCCTTAGGATCCTCCATATATCCCCAATAGTGGGTTCTTTTGCTTGTCCCTAAGCAAAATCTTGTTTTAAGTAAACCCATACCCAGTCAACATGTTAGAAGAAGGCATTTAATGAATACTTTTAATAGGAAGTTTTCTTCTGTAAAGCAGGTGCCATGTGTTAAGCGCATGGCTATTGATATTAATTCAGAAACCATAAGCAGAAATGCAGAGCAGAGAGGAGTATGGCAACAGACGAGGAACAGGTTGTGCTCAGGGGACTCAGCAGTGAGGGAGAGCTTGCCTAGCAGGTTCAAGCCCTGAGTTCAACCCCTTCCCCAACAAACAATGTAGCAGAAGCTTCCTGAGAAGAGATATGTACAAGGCGAGAAGAGAAGGCAGTAGCCGGGTGGCCTAGGCAGGACAGTGTTAGGAAGGTGGCCATCTTGTCCAATAACAAGTGAGCAGAATATTCTAATGGACATTAGTTCAACAGTGTGAAAGACCATGGGATCAAACAATCCCAGGACTTTTGGCTCTGCAGGGAAAAGGTACGGTGAGGCTGTCCATAGGCTTGGGTGGATAAATTTGGAAGGGAAGGTGAGGCATTGAGAGGATTGTTTTTAACTTGCAGGAAACACTTCAGCAATCTTTTATGCTATCATAAAGGGACCAAAAGAAATAGGAGGCTAGAATATGCAGGAGAAAGACAGGAAGTGATGGAGCAGAGCATAATCAGTGAACCAACTAGTCAACACTTCATGGAAGAGGGGGAAACCTGGGGATGGTGACCACAGACTGAGGGCTGTGTCCTAAACCAGGGGACGTAACACCTCACTGTGATTTCATTTTGCCTTCTGACAATTACTCATTAGCTTGAGCATATTTTCTACTGATCTGGCATTTGAATTCTACTTCTTTGAAATGCCTGGCTTGCCCTATTTTTTTTTTGGCCTATCAGTTTCTTGTTAATTTGTAGAGTTCTTCATATATCCTAGTTACATGTAATACAAATAAACATAGGTCGTCTTCCACTTGAGGACATTTCCACTCACTTTATGATATCCTTTGACACATAAAGTCTTTAAAACAGTTGTCCTAGTTGCTTTTCTGGTTGCTGAGAAAAAATACCCAACACCTAAGTTAAGGAAGGAAAAGTTTATTTAGGTCACAGTTTGTGGAAGTTTTGGCCCGTAATCGGCTGGCTCTAACGCAGGGTGGCACATGGCAGAGGGGCAACCATTCATTGTGGTGGAAGATAACAAAAGCAACAAGCAAAAAGGGAAGAGCAAGCCTTTTTTCCTCCCTTATGTTGTATGCAGGCCAGCTGCTCTGGGGCTAGTGGCACTTACATCCCCAGTCTCAGCACTAGACAGTGAACCGATACGAACTCCTGATTTAGCCACTTCCAAAAACCTGCCTCCTTGACCATATGAGGTTTTAAGGAGACATGGAAACACAACCCATAACAACAGTTATACAGTATTTATCAACTTTTTTCTTTGCCGTTTGTGATTGTGTTTCTTTTGTGTGTGTGAGTGTGATTTTGTTTCTTTAAAAGAAATTCATTCTACCAAAATTATAAAATTATATTTCTCATAGTCTCGGAGAACTTCTTTTGTTTTGTTTTTCTAATTTAATTTCTTTACCCGAAGTTAATTATTTTCCCCTAGAACTGAGTATTGAATCAAGACTATGCATTGAGTTACATTCCCAGCCTTTTTTTTTTTTTTTTTTTTTGAGACAGGATCTTGCTAAATCCCTAAGTATCCCAGAGTGGATTTAAATTTGTGCTCCTCTTGCCTCAACCTATCAAAGTTCCGAGTTTAGGAGTATAAACCACCACACCCAGCACTAAAGGTGATTCTTCTCTATGTCTTTACAATACTCTCCCTTTATCTTAGTTTTCAGTTTTCTGCAGTCAACTGTGGTCTGAAAATACTAAATGGAAAACTCCAGAAATAAGTGATTTGTGTGTTTTAAATTGTGTTATTCCAAGTTGCATGATGAACTTCCAAGTGTCTTGAGATTTCAAGGACAAAGCAGAATAGCTTGTCCTGTCCAGGCTGTCCTCTGCAGCCCTGCCAAGATGTGGATAGTCCATTTGTCCTGTGTGTCTGGTCACTTGGCAATTGTCTGAGTTCTGAGATCGACTGTCAAAGTTTCTCAGTGCTTCCATTCAAGAAACCCTTACTCTACTTATTAATAGCCCAATAATTGTCCTATTTTACTAGTATTGTTGCTCATCTTTTACTGTGCCTAATTTATACATTAAAGGTAAACTCTGTCACAGACATGGGAACAAACAGTTTATATTGGGTTTGATACTCTGTGATTTCAAGTATCTACAGGAGATCTTGGAATATATTCTCCACAAATTGGCCGAGAAGGGCATTGTGTTTGCTCTTTTTTCTTTCCTCTTGTTTTGTTTGTGTTTTGGGTTTTGTTCCTTTTTTTCTGGCTTTACTTGGCTTTTTTTTTTATCTTGAAATAGATTGTAGCATAGATTTTTACCCTTCCTTAAATTTTTTTTTTTTTTTTTTTTTTTTTTTAAGCCTACAGCACCCGGTATTCCCAGGCGGTCTCCCATCCAAGTACTAACCAGGCCCGACCCTGCTTAGCTTCCGAGATCAGACGAGATCGAGCGCGTTCAGGGTGGTATGGCCGTAGACTCTTCCTTAAATTTTTTTGTGGAGGAGGATAGCTCTGTAGATTGATACCAGGGGCTTCACACTGAGCTTCTCCCCAGCTTTTTAAAACTTTTTTTTTTTTTAAAGATAGAATCTCACCAAGTCATTACATTACAGGCAAGTGTCACCAGGCCTAGCCTGTCTTTCTTTAATTTTAAGATAAGCACAAAGGCAGTAAATTACCTGTGTTCGTTGATTCGCAACCTTAGCTACACATTGATATCACCTGGGGACCCTGATCATTGTGGATGTCTGAGCCTCAACTCCTGAGATGCTGATTTAATTTGTCTGCAATGCTGCCTTCAGTGCCAGGATTTTTAAAGTATGTAATCAGAACTTATAAAGGTCTCACACATGATTTGAAATAATGTGTGTTCTACACTTTGGGGGTAGTATTCTAATGAGTGTATTAAGATCAAGCTTGTTAATTGCACTTAGATTTCTGTATGCTTATTTTTTGTGTGTAGTTGATCTGTCTCACAACAAAAAGTCTTAAGTCTCCCACAATGTGGATTTTACCCACTTTGCTCATAATTCTATCAGTTCAGACTCCTATTTTCTTAGGTGTGTTATATATTTAGAATAACTACATTTTCCTAATGAGACCTTTATTACAAGGAACTATTTTTCATTGTCAAGTTTATTTTTAATATTATTTTAACTGAGTTATAAAATGAATTATTTTAGATAACTTAGTACTGTGGATTCAGACTGCAAACCTGTGTGACAGCTGACATGTATTGATTCAGATGCTCAGGCTGGGTCTCACTCACTACACATCCTCACGTCCCTTTTTCACCTGTTAAACACCAACTTGCATCTTCTTTGCTGTCCTTTGGGGGTCAGATAGCTAACTCAGCCTTACATCAGGGTATGCCATTTGGAAGCCACTTTATGGAGGAGAATCATTTATTGGACTTGGACAGATTTTTGTCTCTTACATTCCATATCTCACCCCATTATAAAAATCACTACTCAGATTCATCAGATTAACCTTGAAGTCAAAGACAATTTCACTGTTAGTCTGTTTTACCTGTTCGATACCCACATGACAGTTTTTTAATGCCATGGCTTGCATTTGAATTGTCACCTTCCTGGCGGTGAAGAATGGAAGCTGAGAGCAGATGGTAGGCTGGGCAGTTCTTTGATTCCTGACTGGGCCACTGGGTTTTCTGCCAAGTCATTTAACCCAAGTTTCATCACTAATTAATTATGACCAGTTATATCTGAACTTCATAAAGGCAGGCAGGGCCAGGTAAATGAACAAGAGAGGTAGGTAGAATATCTGCATCCTTCCAGTGAATGGTAGTGCAGGTAGCTCTCACCAGCATTACATACATGGTCGAGTTTAAGAGTCCAAGCTTTGTTCCTCCTTGGTGACATTTTCACCATTTATTGAAGCCTTAACTTACAGTCTAGTCTATCATTTTCTAGTGAATGTGAACATAATTTTTTTCAGATGATACATGGATTTGCCCAATAGTAAGGCAGGAATCATTTATTAAAACCCTTAAAATATATCAGGTATTATCCCTGATAAAATAAAAGGGACATAAAGACAAAACATGCTGTCTTTCCAGGAATGTGCTGACTAAACAGCTGATCAGAAAGACTGAGATTTTCATTCTTTACAGGATATTCTTCAGCAGGTTCGTGGTTCCACGAGGGGCTAAAAGGGGCAAACTTATCTTTCCCTGGCACTGAACTTGATGAGTCATCAAAAATCCCCTCTACATTCCCTATCAGAATTCTATCAAAGAAAAAACCAAAAGATACCAAATGGAAATTCTGCATCATTCTGAGCTCACAACTTGCACTGTTTGAGAAGGTGGTGGGGTCCACATTGCCACCAAATCACCTTTGCTTCCTTCCAGGCGGCCCTTGAGCTGTCAGAGGCTAGTAGGAAAGAGCTTCTGTCACTACTCACTGCTACTCCATTTTAAATGTGTTTTCTATCATCTCAGATCATTTGCTTTTGCCTTTCTTGTCATACCAAAAAATACTGAGTACTAATAACAGTATGCTCTCTCAGTGTGTTTTGTTTGCGTCACTTGTATCCTAGAAACTCTGTCTCAGGTCAGTACCTTCCCATTGTGTCCCAGCCAAGCCTGCCTGTCCTGTATTTTTCAATGAAATCAGTCCTGGTAACACTTCTGTAAGGAGTGTTAGGCTCGCACTCTGGTCTCATTTGCAGATTAGAAAGTTAATATTACTGTGCCTATATTTCACTAACATAAAAGAATCAATTCCTCTTTTAAATTCTCCCAAGGAATCTTTCTGTTCCAAGAAGTAACTCTTGAACTAAAACTATGGTTATTCTTCAGTGAATTTTTCAAGTGAATATTATGGTTCTTTCACTGTCTACAGTCACATCTTTCTAATATATTCTCAAACATCACATCCCTAAAATCTTACATCACATTCATTGTGACATCGTTTATGTAGCTGACTCATCATTTCTAATCAGAACCCAGCACACAGAGCATGGGAATCTAAGGTAGTCATCAGGCAGCTCCTTTTCTTGAAAATGAGGCCAGTTCCTTGTCTTGAAAAATGTGTGGGATGTGAAGGCCTGTGCATGAGCCCCAGGCTCACCACTTAATGCGTCCTTGATAACCTCAGGTCACACAGTCCAGCCAGGCCTTCATTACACCTTCTGTGAGATAAAAGTCTTGGCACAGCATTCAGGTTATCAGTTGCTCTGCAATAAACCACCCCAAAACCTAGCAACCTAAAACAACTATTTATTTTGCTCGCATGTTAATGAGAAAGGGATTTGGGAACCACTCAGCTCAAGAGTTTGTTTCTGATCCCTGTGGCATCGTGTGAGAACGTTCTTCTGACACAGCTTCACACAAACATGTCAATGCCTTCTTGGTCCTGGGTCCCTCTCTATGGCATCTCCATTCCGCGGGACTCCTGAGTGTCGTCTCCTGAGAGAGGTCATGTTGTTCCATGGCAGCCAGCTTCCAAGAACCAAAAGTTGCTGGGCCAGGAAAGGACTACACCTCGTCCTGACACAGTATCACCTCTGTGGTGTCTTATCATTCAAAGTGGTTACAAAACTCAAGGGTGAAAAGGTAGAGTCCAGCTCTTGCTGAGGGAATGGCAAAGTCACACTGCAGATGAGAATATGTGTTGTGCCTATAGATGTTTAGTGGGTTCTTGGGGTGAGGGGATAAGTAAGTGTGTATGTGATCATTGGAGAATTGTAAATTTTATTAATGTAAAGGATATACTGGACAGTTTACAGCTGTACTAAAAAAGTTTCATGTCCCAATTGTTCATCACAGTACTTTCCCTGGATTTTGCCAAACTTTTAGATCATTTTCCAGCCTATTATTTCAAATAAAGACTTTGTCTTACTTGCGTTTATCTCTTTCAGTGACAGATTTTTGCACCCCAGTAGACTATAAATGAAAGTGAAAAGATTATTAGTTCATAGTCACAAATCAAAATACTTTGTTTTTCAAAAGCTTCATAATAGCTGGCCATGGTGGTACATGTGTGTAATCCCAGCACTGTGGTAGGCTGAGACATGGAAATCTCAATTTCTAGCCCAGCCTGGCCAATTTAGTAACCCAGTGAGATCCTGTTTCAAGATAAAAAGGACTGAGGAGCTGGGATGTAGCTCTGTGAAGGGCCTCGGTTCAACCCAGTAACCACATACACAAAGCATTTTATTGATAACATTATGCAAAGCACTTTCAAATGTGCCTTTAACTAATATGATATTTGAGGAATCATCATTCTTATTTTCTAGAGGGCATATAGTCAGCTTTTTGTCACTACAACAAAATAACCTAACGCAGTTAACTTATAAAGACAGAGACTACTTTAGATGATGGTTCTGGAGATTCCAGTGCAAGATCAAGTGACCCCTAACTGTGGACCTCTAGTAGAGCATCAGGTGGTGATGGTTGATGCAGTAGACCACTTGACAATATGAGCCAGAAAGGCAAAGGTCAGGCCAGGGTCCCCAAACCCCATTGGGAACAATGCTCAGTGATCTAAGGACCAAGGTGCCATCTTACCTAAAGCTACACAGCACCTCCCAGTGGTGCTACCCTAGAGAATGAGCCTTTCACACGTGGGTCTTTCGGGAACAGGGATCTAAGCCAGAGCAATGGAAAAGTGACTGTGGATTGCAGAGTGGTGGCTAGTGACAGGAATGAGCCACATAGAGACCTCAGGACTTCTGCCTTTTCTAAAATTCATTGTTTTCCAACCACAAAATAGATCTTTATCTCCCCAGGAAGCACTGTCTAGAGTTTACATTATCATTCCTTGTTTTGCTTGAAGTGTCCATTTGGGGGGTTAGTTGTTATTGTTGTTATTGTTGTTGTTGTTGTTGAATAAAACATTCTTTATAGGAAAATAGGAAATATACATAAGCAAAAAGTTGAAGCCAAAGCCATGCCTGACCCCGCCACTCTTTGTGAGTGGATTGCTAAGGTTAACATTTCAATTCGCATCTCAGGGTTTCAGTCTGAATAGCATAAGCATCTCTTTGTACACCAAAATGCACACGGCACTGCTTATGTGTTCTTTAAATAGTGAGGCATCCTATTTGATGTTTTCTTTGAGTTGCTTCAAGTGCTGTGCTGAAGTTTTAAGTTGTTTGTCTAAACTTTCAATATTAAATGAAGAAATAGCAACTGCTTTCCCAGCAGCTCTGTGGCAGCCAGTCAAAGCCAGCCTGTGGGTGGTACTAGATGCAGAACTTTCATAGGAACATGATATCACTTCTCAGAAAACCTCTCGCCTTCTACTTTCTTGTGGTCATCAGTGGGGGACATTCTGCGTGAGTCACAGACCAGGTCCAAGGGTGGGTCTGGCAGGGTTGCTTTCCTCTCAGACACTTGAAGAAAATCTGTCCTGGTTTATGTTCAGTTTAATACGTTGAATATCCTTCGTCCAAAACAACTTGGCATCATTAGAGTTTCCGACTATGGATTTTTTCAGGTTTTGGATTATTTGCAGTACATGGTGAACTGTCTTGGGGATGGAGCCCAAGTCTAGACACAACATTCATTTGAATTTTGTATTTGCTGTATACACATATCCTGAAGGTCATTTTATATAAGAATTTTAGTGCATCTGTACCTTGTGACAGTCACGCAGGTTGGTGTGGAATTTTCATGTGGTGTTCATGTGGTTTGAGATTTTGTAGAATTTCTAATTTCAGATTTTCAGATTAGGGATGCATAATCGGAATGGCATGATACTTATTATGCCTTTACCCAATAGAAACTAGGAAACTGTTTCTCTCAATCCAGACATTTCGGAAAAGAATGTCTGCTTCATTGATGCTGTATAAATTGTGACCTAAATAATAATTCTAACATATATTTTTTCTTATTTAGGCAGCAATAAGGAAAGAACTAAATGAATTTAAAAGCACAGAAATGGAAGTTCATGAAGAGAGTCGACAGTTTACCAGGTAAGTAGTTCAGCACACTGAAAATGCTTAAGATGGTAAATTTTGTGTTAGGTCACAATTTAAAATTTTTTTTCAGTGTAATATAGCCATCAAATGAACATTTTGCTTTTCCCGTCTTCACCCTTGCTTCCTTTATCTGGTAACCTAATGGTCAATTCTACAGTTGTAAAGATATGACTAGAGGACATTGCAAACTTCTAAAACTGCATGATACACTCAGCTATCTCTTTTAGAAACACTAAGGGTAATGATGCTGAACAAGAATTTCTAAAATTAAATCCTTTTTTTCATTCAAAGAAGTCTGAATCATTTTCAAGAGCTACATCTTGGCTCTCTTTAGTTTTATTTTCTGAGCCAGAAGACAAGTGTCAACATCACTTATTTTGCTTTAGAACTGACTCTTGGAAGCTCTGTGCCCAGAGCAGATGCTGGTGACAGTCAGCGTGGGCACACGTGTGTTGCATTGGGCTCACATAGACATAACTTAGGATGGCAACTGAATTTTTAGAAGATACCGCTGACAATAGACATCCAATTCGTATCTGCACTGCAGACTGCCACTGTTAGCCTGCCCATTACTGTGACAAAGACCTGAGATAACCGATTTACAGAGAAAAGAAGTTTGTTTTGCCTCACAGTGTCAGAGGGTTTTAGTCCATGGTTAATTGGATCTGTTGCTTTGGGGCAGTGGTGAATGACAAAACCACCTACCTCATCCCAGGGAATAAGAAGCAAGAAGAGACAGAGTTCCACAACCCCTTCCTGGTTATTTACTCCCCAGTGGCTGAAAGACCTCCTGCTCAGCACCCCTTTAAACTTTCCAATTGAACCAAACTGGAGCCAATTGGGCACTCTTGGGATCCAGACTATACCAGTGATAATCCTGCTATTTTTCCTCCCTGAACACTTCAGTTTCACAGACTACTAAGATCAGAAAGGACTCAAGTGAGCGGCTCACACCTGTCACAGATGTCCTGGTTCTCTCACAGGTGTATGAGCCTTGCCCTACATCCCAGGTGCATTCCTAAAAATCTACATAGAAATCAAATCTTTAAAAATCAGTTTGATTTTTAAAAATGTTTTCATGAACAGGACCACATTCTAACTTTTTAGAAATAAGAACTAATGCCCTACACTAGAAACAGTCTCTGGGAGGTAGGTCCACTCCTCGGTGCTCCTGGTCCCGTGTGGTCGCTGGTGGAGGCAGGGGTGTCCTGTGCTGGGGGTTATGCGACCTGGAAAGGAACAGCAGCAGAATGTAGTTATTTAATCACAACTCAAGGAGTTCGTGGGAACCCTGTCACAGGCATGCTCTGCAGCTCATCCTCATGTGTGCAAGTCTGGTGTGGAGCAGAAGGTCCCTTATTCTGGGGATCTTTCTCCTTCATTGTTTGTTTTCACCCCATCCTGGCTGTCTGTATCTGCAAGTAGGGCTTTGCCGTCCTGAGTGTGCGGTTTTTCCTCCACACAGAGCTTTCTCCTGTCACAATCAACCCTTGACTTTTGACACGCCCTTAGCAAGCCAGACTGTGCCTCTCCCTGCCACTTCTGGGGTCAGGAAAAGTCCAGACTAAACGTGCCCCCTGAAGTTACACTTTTCCAGTAAAGCTGGGCATAAAAAAGGGGCCGGGTATTTGTGGTTAAACTGCGCTGGCTGGGGCCTGTGAGCCGCTGACCAACACCCTGTGTTTGAGAGGTGAGAGGTCGAGGCCACAGCCCTGCGCTGCGGGGCTTCTGCATACTTTTCCTAGAAATCGTAATATCTGCTCTGCTAGCGTGAAGAGCAAGCAGAAAGGAATCAAATAAAAACCAGAGGTTGTTTTTATTCTGTCTTGCTCTTTGAAGAAAGACAACAGAGTTAAGGAACAGGGGGAAATTAGGGCCCTTTCTTTTTTATATGTGTCTTTTTATATGTAAAAATAATATATTTCAGGTAAGCATTCAAACAATACAAGATTTATTAAGTAAAAATTAACCCCCTTCACTCCTTTCCCTGCTTCATCTCTACTCTAAGAGGGAAGCGCTGGTCAAAGTTCAAGGTAGATTCTTTTGGAGATTTTTGTATGTGTTTGCTAACATGTTTGCACATAGTACATGTGTGTGTACACATGTGTTTTGTATGTCCTCCCTCACACACAGATACAGCATTAGAAAATCTATCCTTACTTGTATCCATCTTATCCACTTGAATGACTGCAGCATCTCGTAGGTAATGTGCTCTAAATTACTGAACAGTTACAGGATGGATGGATGTCTACAAGGACTGTAGTTTTTCATTATCAAAACACTATCATGCACATATCTCTGTGTACATGCCATTTTTTTTCTGCGATAGAGCCAGTAAGAGCATTTGCTGGGTGACTAGAAAGATATTTTACAGTGTGAAAGAAAATAGTTATTATCCCAAAAAGCACTTAGCTATTGAGTCATAGTTGATACCCCTCACCTATCAGTGTCTGGGGCGGGGAGTGTTTGAGAGACTTAATATTCTATAGGATAAACAGTAATACTCTTTCATTGGTTTCTGTGAGATTAAACATCTTCATTTATATTTACTGGCCATTTATTTTTGTCTTTGATTTGCCAATTCAGAGCTTTTGACCAGTTTTGTAGTGCTGGAGATTGCATCCAGGGCCGTGTGCATACTAGGCAAATGCTCTATTACAGAGCTGCACTCCAGCCCTTTTGTAAATTATAATTGGGACTGAGTCTCACTATGTTATCCTGGGTGGCCTCAAATTCAAGGTCTCTGGGGCAAGGGTTTAGCTCAGTTGTGTAAGTGCCTGCTTGGCAAACACGAGGTCGTGAGTTCAATCCCCAGTACCAAAAAAACAAAACTCAAGGTCTCCTTGCATCAGCCTCCCAAGGAACTGGAATTACAAATACACACCACCACACCTTCCTTGCATTGTCTTTTTGACATACATTAATAAAATCTTAAATACTGTATATATTAGCCCTTGGTAACATGTAGCATGATATTTTTAACTTTTTAACGTGAATTTTTTTGTTTAGACTTTTGCATATTAAAATCTATCTTTTATTTCATTGTTGTGTCTTTTAGAGAAAGGCTAAGATTATAAAACTATAATTTTTAGCTTTTACATACACATTTTTTTACACTTACACATTTTGTTTGTTGGGTATTTATTTTTGCATCTGATTCAAGGGAGTAAACTGGCTGGGGATAGTAGTACAAACCTGTAATCTCAGTACTCCAGAGGCTTAGGTAGAGAACCACAAATTCAGAGCTATTAGTGAGTTCGACCAGCCTGGACTATACAGAGAAATTCTATCTCAAAAAGAATTTTAAAATGCTGGACATGGTAGCACACGCCTATAATCGTAGCACTCTGGAAAGCCAAGGCAAGAGAGTCACAAGTTCCAGAAGTGGGCAGTGTAGCAGCTTATCAAGACCCTGTCTCAAAATATTAAACTAAAGAAAGGGCTTTGCACTGTAACTCAGTGCAAAGGTTGTGGGTTCAACTCCAACACCATCAAAATAAAGTAATTTTAGAAACAGTAAGCTAGCATTACCTTTTCTGAATCAATAGTCTATTGTCTTCATGCTATTTATTTCCTCCTGGATATGATTTTTTTTTTTACATATTCACAAGTCAGTTCCTCATTCACCCCATCCCTGCCTATGTGACATGGTTTACTTAGAGCAAATTTGCTGTATGCTTTTAAAGCTGATGGAACATTTTTCCCCTTCAAAATTCTATTGGCTATTTCTCCATATTAGTCATTTAGATAAATTTAGAATATGCTTCTTGTGTTTCATGAAACAGTCTGTTGATATTTTCACTGTTTAAGTAAATATTAGTAGCTGCAAGTAGATAAGCTTTTGGGAGATAACAGCTGATATCAAGGGTAAACTTTAAAAGATATCCCCAAATATATTGATTAACATTCTTTAAAATATCTTTCCAGAAAAGGAAAAATTAAATATTCATATCACCAAAATAAATATGACTTGCTTAAGTAGTGTTTAAATCTTGGCAGTAAAGCAGATGTGTATTGCTATTTTTTCCATTAATTTATATGACATCATTAAAGTCGCATTCCAGCCAGGAAATATTTTTGGCTTTGGAGACAAAAAAAAAATCATGGTTATGATTTTCAAATTGTTTTCTGTATTTAAGGGCAAAACGTTTTCATAAACATTACTGTTTCTAATCAAAATAAGACCAAAAAATACAGTAATATCTTACATTTAGAAAATTGATCACATAAAAGATAGTGGTACTCCAGCCCCAGCCACCCTTGGGAGTTATAAACACTTTATGAATCATTATCTTGGCCTCTAAATGCAACCTAGAAACATAGCAGCTCTTCCTTCTTCTAATTAGTGTTAGATTTTATCTGCTTATACCAAGTAAGTCTGGCCTTCCAAACCTGAATCTCCGAGCTCCCTGTGGACCTGAGGTGGTTCATAAATGGGTTGAGACAGCTCTGCTTCCTCCACTCAGGCACCTCTTTATTCACACAGTGATGCATCCGTGAGTGCTGGAAGGATCCATGCCCATATATAGCTTCCTTTGTTTCTGTATCTTTGGAGAAATATACCAAATGCTTGCCTCTCAGGAGGAGAACTAAACTGGTGGCTGGGGGAGACTCACCCTTTAGAAAGCTGTTTGAGACATAAGAATGTTTTACCTATTCAGAAACAAGCATGGAAAAGAAAAATTGAAGGATGCAGTCCCCAAGTCCTTGTTTTTGTAAATGAGGATTCCATCATGGTGGCTTGTCTTCTATACTGTATCAGCACTAATGCTATGACAGTTCCACTTTTTGTGACCCAAGAAGACATCTCTGGTACCTCCGTTATGGAACATACTCTGTGGCATGTTTCATCTGCCTTGATGATGAATGGCAGTGATCTTTCATAGAATTGTCCCAGTTCCTTCCAAATCGCAGTATTCCAACTCCCTGGAATTGCTATGCATGAGAGGGCTTTACAATAGGAATAGGAGTAAGTGTACCCCCACAGAATTCATCCTGAAGCCTTTCTAGGGTACCAAGCCTTAACCTCAGTCCCTTAGAGCATTTTCTGCTTGTCTGGCCATGTACTGCATTTCCTCCCCAGCTGCTGCCCAGCCAGCCCTTGGCTCAAGACCCAAAGTCCACTTTAACAGCAGGCTGTCTAGACTAATTAGAGCGGGTCATTGTAGTCTCTATAGAGACCACATGACAAACAAAAGCCACTTCCCAGTCCATAGTAAGAGGAATTCCTATAATATAAAATGATTCTCTAAGTTATAAAGACAAATTGCATGAAATGTCGAAGTGTAGTCACAAACTAAACTTCTAAATGATTATAGCTGTGTGGGGAGTTTAAGAGTAATCTCCTGGATAATATTTGTATTTCAAGTTTTTTCAGGTGTTAACATGTGCCAGATTTATAATCAGGAGAGAATAACATTTTCAGCACATGTACTTTCATATATGTAATTTTATTAGCTTATAAATTATTTGCTTATTATATTAAATATATATCTATATAGACATATATATCAAAGACAAAAATCACCAAGTTGAAGCTCTTGAGAATGAAAATGGGAGCTGGGGATTTAGCTCAGCAGCATAAGCACCTGCCTGGCAAATGCGAGGTTGTGAGTTTGAGCCTCAGTACAAAAAAAAAAAACAGAGTGAAAATGGGTCTAAGAGATCACTGGCAGCATGTCAAGTGGAAAAATCAGGGTATTGATTAAATGGAAATGTAACAGTAGTGTATTTAAAATTCAGATGTCTAGAAAAAAGATTTAAAATAACATTAAAAACTCAATGGCTTATAGATTTTCTCTACTTTTAAATATTCTTAATGTAATATTTTTAGGCACATACACTTTATTAAGGAAATGATATTATTCTGTACCTTCTTGAGGTAAAACCATCCTATGTGAATTTACAAATAAAGTAAACCCCCTTTCAGCTGCTAGAGTAGCATAGCTCATCAAAGCAGGACACCATCAGAACTATACCTGGGGAGCAGTAAAAATTCATTGAGGAGTCCTCAGTGAAACAGAGATTACTGTCTCTGTTTGCACACAGATAGTTGTAAAATTCTTCCTTGTCTCCTGGCCTTGCAAGCCTGGCTTAGTGTTGGAACTAAGGAAGAGCCCAACCAGCACGGGTCTGGCCTCACAGGTAAAACGATGAGCTGTGGTTTAGGAAAGCATCCGATCTGATTAATGTCAAGCTGTGTGCCAGGTCACACGAGAAACTTAATGGAAGGCAGAATAAGGCTGGGGTGTAATTCAGTGGTAGAGCACTTCCCTAGCATGGTTTGATCCCCAGCAAATATGCCAAGTAACTAAATACAAGGGAAATTGATTATTCGGGATTTCTGTATGTATCAAATGGGAAAATAACATTTAATATTTGTGGTATAATAATGTTTTTATATTATCTTAATGAATTTTTAGGAAAATGAGTAAGTTTTTAAAAACTAAATTGTGGAGGGACTGTCATTACAGGAATAATTACCGGTTATCAGAATTCCATGGTTTCAAAAGTCTCTCCCTTAACCTCTCCCTCTCTTCAGTAAGAAAATAATAAAAATGTATTTCCATTTTAAAAAGAGGAAAATGCACATAACTTCTAATTCAAGTCTCAGGAAAGTTCTGAAAAGAGGGTAGACAGAGTTTAAGTGTCTTTAGAACATGGTAGATCTATGTATTACTCTATCAGCTTGAATCCTAACACCAAAACTTGCCTTCCATTAGATGGGTAAACTTCTCAGAAAGGAAAACTGAACTTACGTTTTAAAGTGAACCCAAACCATAGAGAAGTAACAAGCCTAGGAGTAACTTGCATTTCCAGTACCTCTAACCATAACACTTTAGAGCCAAATTTGAAGATAAGATGCCTCATTTAACAGGCAATAGATGTCAGCACACTCACTTCAGAGAGTCCAGACTTACTAGGAAGAAAATATAACAGGATGTAGAGGGAGGGACAAGGATTAGGATACATTAAACAGCCAGCAAGGAGTCTCTTAAGGAAACAAGAAGCATCCTATGATTAAAATGACAAGAGCGAGCTCCTAGTCTACTGTTAGGGGAAAAGACAAACATTCCACCCCCAAAGGAAGTGAGAAGACAGAAAAGTGGGTGCCCAGTACACAGGGCCTGCAGCCCCAGGACTGTGCATGGTCTGAGGGCCTCCGGGAGTGAACCAGTTGTCTTTGTGTCTCAAACACAAAGCATGAGCCAGGTGTGGTGGTGCTGCCCTGTAATCCCAGCCCTCAGAGGCTGTGGCAGAAGGACTTCCTCCCGTTTGAAGCCAGCTTGGGCGCATAGTGAGTTCAAGTCCAGCCTGAACTACATAGTGAGATCTTAGTTCAAAAAAACAAAACAGGAAGAAGGAATAAAAGAAAGATGGTGGGAGGGATGGAAGGAGAGAGAGAGGGAGAGAGAGAGAAGAAAGGGCAGGGAGATCATACATCTGCCTAAGATTATGATCAGGGGTGGAGTTAAGAATTTCACTGACATGCAAGTTTTTGAGAAGTTTGATGTATTTTTATTTTTATTTTAACTTCTGTATATTTGACTTCTGTATTTTGACCTCTGTATATTTGACTTCCTGGAAGTCAAATATACAAAAATAATAAAAGAAATTTCCATGTGTCTGTCAAGCATCTGCTCCAGTTATTAACTTATAGCAAATCTTGTTCTATCTTTGTTTCTTAATGCTTGGATTCTGCACAGCTGAATTTATTAAGATGCATCACATACCAGACAGTGCCTGTGTATGTAAAAATGAATGAGAAGGGTTCTGTCCTCAGCTTCTCACGGTCCAGGAGCAAAATCACTCCTGCACAAAGACCAGATTCAGGTGATTAATAGTTGGTGCAAACCAAAAGCTATAGGAACATAAAAGAGGGTGCCACCAATGCCCTCCTGAGAGGTAGAGAAAAAGAGGTTTGGGAACCTCATACAGTGAGATTATACAAAGTGGACATGGGAAGAAAGACTCAGCAGGACCACAAAAGAACTTGGGAGCAAATGACTGGAAGATACAGGTGAAACATGAGCTCTGCTGCACTCTGAAAAAGCCTACCTCAATTCATGGTGATTCAGGAGCACAGCACCCTCCCAACAGTTTGCTATTTTGTAGAGAAAGAGGAACAATACAATTTTTTAACAAAGGACTGGAGGTAATGAGTTGACATTTCATAATAGTAATAGTCTGAAGCATAGATTTGATGGAGAGAGCCAGGGGCAGGGAAATCAATTAAGTTTAGCTTACCAAATGTTTAGGTCGGCTTTTCCATTGTTAGGACAAAATGTCTGACACTTGCAACTTAAAAGGTTTAATTGGCTCATGGTTTCAGAGGTTCAGTCCATGGCTGAATGGCTGTAAAGTGAGAAAGTCATGGCAGAAGCACATGTTACAGTAATGGTGCTCAATTCATGATGCTTCAGGAGGACAGCACCTGAGAAAACTTACCTCAGAGGCATAGCCTTAGTGACTACCTCTTGCATCTGGGTTCAGTCTTCTCATTCAGCTATGAGCATCAGGGAACTAATCCACTGGTGACTGTAGTGCACCTATGATCAAGTCACCTCTTCAGGATTCTCTTACTCCAGTCACCTTGACAGTTGAGATTAACTGGCACACTGAGGTAGATGAGTATTAAGTTACAGAAAACAGGGCAGTGCTAAGTACTGTTACATAAATGTGGAATTACAGAAGTATCCTTGAAAGCTAGATGAGAGAAGGCTTTATGAAGAAGATGGCTTGTTACCTTGATTTTGATCATGAAAACACAGATGAGAGACAAAGGGAGGGAGTTGTAGTATTAGGGACAGCATGTTCCAAAGCACAGGGCTACACAATGCAGGGATGTTCTAGAATTTGCACCGAGAACAGGAAGCCCACTAGCTAGCAAGCAAGCAGACCATCGAAGTGGTGCCTGCAAAAGATGGTAAGGGCTTTAATGATTCAAAGCCAGGCAGTGGAGGCAGAACATGGTAATAAAGGGGGTATGAAGGGCGAAAGACATAAGTAAATTGTAAATTTGATGTTTCTAGACTAAAAATATTTTTAGAAGTGGACCATGACACAAGCTAAAATGTAAGGAAACCTTTGTGTCGTGGTGGGCATGCTTAGTATGTTACCTGTGCAGCGCCTGGGTAAAATGACCGGCAAGCAGTTGGAAATCAGGATGTAGAGAGTTGATTTGGAGTCACCAGTTGGAACATACAAAAGGCTAAAGGTAATGAAATAATGACTTTGTGATTGTCCTGTGATAGCTACAGAAGATAGTCGAGGATAGTGATGTTTTGTCCTAATTGCTCTATAACCTGAATGCTCTTTGTAGAAGGATGATCTCTGGCTTCAACATAATATTTGTAACAGTATCCTAGCTACCTTTCCTTGTAAAGTTCCCCTTACCTTATTTAGATTGCTGAGTACAGGGTACACAGACTCACAGTTTCTGTTTCTTATCCCAGGTTTCATCGCCCATAAAGGAGTGTGGAACTGTTTGCAAGCACAGATGATCATCTTTAGGGGAAAGAAGCCCTGCTTCCCAAAAAGCTGATATTGCACTGAGACTTGAGTGTGTGTGACTCCGTTTAACTTGTGGTAAAGGAAATGTGTGACTCGGCTTTGTTCAAAAGTACTCCTCACCTCTACAGCCCAGAGGGGCCGACGAGTGAAGGGAAGGATGCAGTAACCTTGTTACCCAGAATGTGTACTGATGGTAAGCGGCACTATGGTTATCAGCTATTCTTCATCAGGAGTTTAATCAAAGAAGATGAGCAGAAGACAATCACTGGCTCCCTACTACCAGAAAGCCAAAAGATTTAGTGCCTGTGGGTTAAAGAAAAATTGCTGGGCTCTGGAAAGGGGTGGGAGTTGAGAATCAGAAAGAAAGAGATATATTTCATTATGTTAATGAAGAAAGAATAAGATTGAAACATAAATGTATTTTTTGAAGTAGGCATTTGGTAGCTGAAAACTTATTAAGGGGTTTGGGAATCGTAAACACCCAACATGGATTCCTGAAAGACTGAGTTTTACATAGATATTCTTGTTTTACCATTAAGTTGGTACGGTAAAGTACCATTTTTTTATGTTGTGCCAGTGAATCCAGTTGCCAGAAACAAATCTGAATGTTTTCATGCATCTTTTTCTTAAATGCAAGAGACTCCTACTGACTCTTACCAAGCATGCTTATCCAAATTTTGTTGTATGCTTTAAGTAGCACAGCTCTTCACTCTTGACATTTTTTTGTGCCCCTTCCTAGTGCATCCGTTTTCCACAAAGACAACAGGACTAGGCATAAAGGCAGATGCAATGTTATCCTATAAAACTGTTATAAGCATTAGGAACAATTTTTTTTTCCTTTCTCTATCTGTATTATCTCCAAAGTCAACCAACCACACTTGATCTAAAGAAGATAATGTTGACAATCATGCCACCCTTTTAAGAATGCAAAGTTAAAATTTAAGTAAGGTACAAGCATATGCTGCCTGCTGTTAGTTCTGAGGGGGAATGCAAAGGACCAGTTATTTTTCAGCACTGCATTTTTAAAAAAATGTTGAATTGCTGCTATTAAAATAAAGCACATGCATCACAAACTATACATCCCAAGGCTTAAAAGAACAGAGAAAATTTCTGCTAAATTGTGTGTGGGAGAAAGCTCATTTCTTTTTTTATATTCAGAGTCTGCAGATTGCATCCATAAATGCAGTATTTACTTTCAGTGCCAGAGATCATTGAGATGAAAATCACAGACAGTCTCCGTATGAGCCTACAAGCAGTATTGTTTACAATGAGAACCCCTCTGTTACTGTATTGCCCATTCCCGTGGACTGAATCTCAGGCTCAGTTTGATGCCTGCTCGCCCATGTATATGACTGTGTGTAAATACCGTCCTGCATTTAATTGTTCTTAGTTGTTTTGTGGCCCTTTTTATTAAAAATACATAACAAAAAGTCAAGACCTAATTAGACTTTATTCTTAGAGCTCAGAGTAAAATTTCCTGAACTGCATTTGGTTTGAAATGTGGAAGACCATAATTGTCAATTTCAGCCCAAAACCAAGCGTTATGTCTATTGGTTAAATTCAGATCCCTCCATTCATTGGGAATTTAAAAAAAAAAAAATTCAAAATGAATGATTTTATTTAATTTTTTAAATTTTCCCCTCTTGGCCTATTATAAAAAGCCAGAACAATTTTATAAGAAAAGTAACCAGCATTATTGTACCTCTTGCTGCGCTCAGCTATGGGCATTAATAAAGTAAACTTGCTCTCTGTACTATTGTCATTTTTCTAATAGGATAAGACATACTTTGCTTTGAAAATTTTTCTTTGCATGCCTAAGTGTCTGTCTCTGGCTGATATTTTGTCTGATTTTTGTTGTTACTGTTCGTGGTGCTGGGATTAAATCTGCGGCCTGGTATGTCCCAGGCAAGCATTCTACCACTGAGCTACACCCCCCAGACCTTGCTTTATACTGTTTCAGTTGAGCCATAAAAATTAACTTTGTTCTCCTTTTTATTTCAAAATCATCCTTTTCTTTACATAGTTTAATGCCATTTTGAGAGAAATACTAGGAATATAATGTTTCTTTTCTTTCTCTGTGCTTAGAATCATGGAACGTTATTTTAAAATTTCTAATCACAGATCTTTATGTAATACTAAATATAAGACATTATTACCACTTTATCATTTAGGATACATGTCATAGAAAGCTCCTGTTTGGAATGTTTTTTCGACTGTGGAACAGTTGATGTAACTTTTTAATTCCCTACAATAAGGTTCACCCAGTACAAAAGTGAAAACCTGGTACTTCAATGTATTGTTTTCCTTGCATAATGTATCAGATTTATGAACTATCCACACTTTTTCTTCACATTGGTTGGGGTATTTAGAGAAAATCTTATGTTAAGTTTTTTTTAAAAAAATTGTAACTACTACTAACCTAATCTTTAACTAATTGGCACCACTAGTTATTCCATTAGAATGATCCTTAAATAATAGGCTGTACAAAGCACTAAAGCATTATGAGCTACGGTGCATTTCCTAGAATAAATCCCTGTTGTCTTGGTAAATTTTAAGAGGCAGAAATTCAGCATAATCCCAGCAGCAGCCCATCCTGGGGTCTTTGTCTGGCAGCCCTGAAAAGATGCAAAGGCACAGGCCACCCTCCCTGCGGTCACGGCTGCCCACTGTCCTGTCTGCGGTTTGCCCAGTGTGCCTCTGTTCTACAAAGAAAGTGAATGTGCGTGAGAATTGGTTTTTCTTTTTCTTTCTTTCTTTCTTTTTTTCATCCTGAGGCCTGAACCCAGGGCTGCTGTACCCAGGTACACACTCTGTTGGTGTGCTACACCTCTGATCCATTTCAGTTTTGTTGTGGTTGTGGCTGTTTTAACACAATTCAAGTTTTTTGCTAAAGTCCACCATTTATTAGGCTAATGTTGAACAAGTGAGTGGGTTTTCTCAGGTCTTTGAGATGTGATTAAGGAAGAAAGCAAACTCATCCCTAGGAAGATCCCAGGCAGAAAAGAAGTAGAGTATAAAAACCAGAGTGACCATTTCCATCTGTTTTTTATTGGCTGCTAAGGTATACGCATTAATGTGAAGGTAGTAAGAAGATTCTGAGCTGGCTTTCTCAGCTTTCTTCCAGTTTTACCAATCAAACTGGCAAAATTAATTCTCTGACAATCACCGTTAAGGCAAATTGCTTAGTTTCCTAGGGTATATGAAGTAGCGTGCATTTTCTGATATGATTTAACTAAGATCTACAGTATTCAGAGAACAATCCTATGCATTTGAATTTGAATTGTTTTAATTGAAGGAAAAAGCAATCACATCTTTCCTTCTCACTTATCCAGATAACGCTGACTTTGGTTTCGTTTTTATATCCTTAGTAGTAGAATGAGTATTTTACTCACCTTTCTCTAATGTCACTGAACAGTTCTGAAATTGAAGTGAAAACATATTTAAGGAAATAGACAAATACATCTGAAATCACCAGATATTGAAGAGGAGTTTTGCATCCTTAAAATCCTATCAGTTAGATTTTGTATCCTGCAACTAATTTAGTACTGAGTTGAATTTAAAACAAATACACTTAAAAGAGAAAAAAAACTGAATAAACATTGTATACACTGATGTGAACCACATCAACACACAACAGCATTTTATTTCATGGAGTTAGGTGGACACAGCTTTCACAAATTATACACTATTCACAACACAAAAAGCTACTCTTATCTACCACGTCCATACTTACTCCCCTCTGGCTCAAAAGTTTCAGTAGTCTGTTACTATTTGTAAGCGGTCCCAGCAGCATTATTCAGAGTAAGAAATTTTCACCCGAGAAGGTCAAGTGGACTTAAACTGACATAAGATTTATGAACGTCTCTCATTTTTTATCAATATGGCAGAATTGTTTGAGCATTCTTAAATTCTAGATATTTTAAGCCTATCCTTCGTAGTAAAAGCATATGCTTGGAAATCATTATCTCTCCACTTCACAAGTGTATGTTGCAAGCACTAAAACTCCTTTTAGATGCAGTTTCCCTATGACGTTGCCCTTCAGCATCTTGACATGATGGATTATCCTTCAGTAGCATTTGCCCTCTACTTGCTGGTAGCAGACACTGTTGTCTTAAATGACAAAGCAAAGTGAAACTCAGCAGTTCAAATATGTTCTAGAGGAGAAAACAGTGACAAAATTAACTACCAGCTAAGGAGAACATCTTTTGGAGAGAAACCATGTCCCCTAGAACGTGCAAAACCTAAGTTTAAGGGGAACATTAGACTCTACTAGAAAAGCAAGCAGCGACCAAATGTGGGGAGTGGGAGTGAAGGTGGGAAACCCCCCAGCCATTCTCATTTGCACTTTCCAGTGACTTTTTGTAATCATGGAGCATAAGTTCTGTCAGGAAATGTGAACCACCATTAGTTTCTTTTTAAAAGAAGCTATTAGTATTTGTCAAAAGAAATCAGCCCACCTGTATTTTTCTTGAAGTCTGGGCCATCCCAAACTAAGAAATTCCATTGTATTCGTGATTCTAAGAAAAAGATTTCTGACAAAGAAATGAAAGAAATGGACACTCCTGTGGCAGCTATTCCCACCTAAAGTAGCCCTCTAGCAAAGCCCTAAGATTTACTACACAAAATTGAAAATGTTACTTAGCCCATGGCATCACTAGCACAGCTGCATGGGGCAGCTCAGCCCTGTGAATCAGTGTTTCAGTGAGGTGCTATTGCATTCAGGTCAAGGCAGCTTTTTGTCGCATGAGACTGTCCCACGCGTCACAGGATGCTTAATACTGCAGGCTGCAGCTGACTGAATGCCAGTAGTATTAACAGTCATTGTGAAAACCAAAAGGAAAACGCCTTGCATGCATTTGTAGGTCCTCTGTAGGAGACAGCTACCCCTTCCCCTGAATGCGACTGTCTGTTGCAGTCTGATGACACACAGGAAAGGGGGCCGATCCCAGAACATTATTTCTGTGGCCTCGCTTTTCCTTGGCCCCCTTTGCGTTTCAAGGCTTCCACTTCAGCTTACTTCAGTGCAGCTTTATTTTGCCAGTTCTCTCGGGAAGAGGTAACAGGATAGTTACAGCAGTTCCAGCGGCCATAGTGACGTGGCCTGGTCCCTATGTTTACTGAAAGAGATTTTACATGAAGCAAGCTTTTTTTTCTCTCTCTCTCTCTCTTTTGCAATTTTACCCCAGAACGACACTGCTGACCATAATGCTTGTCAGTGTCATGGAGATTGTTGCAAGACACAGCGACTCTTAACAGCCCGTATAAACAAAGCTAGTGGTCTTTGGAAATCACTATTAGATTTTACCGGGTAACACTGTAGCTTGTAAGTCCCAAAAGAAGCATGTAAGTTATTTCATCCAAAAGCAGAGGCTTGAATTCCCCTATAGATATAGTCAGGAGTTCAGCTCTTTGAAGAACATTGATGAAAACTGCATTATGATGGAAATGTGGATTAATGTGAATTGCATGTGTATCATACTGCAGCGATAGTCATACAGGAAATAAGACGAATTTTATCTAAGTGAAACATTATCAAACTGTCCTAGTTACACGGAAACATACTTACTCTCCTTGTCACTTTTTATCACCAAAACTGAATGGTTAATATATCTTGTATTGGGAGCTGGGCATGGTGACTCGTGTCTATAATCCCAGCATTTTGGAGGCTGAGGCAGGATAATTGCCATGGGCTTGAGGCCACCCTGGGCTACATAATGAGTTCAAGGCAAGCTTGCACTACAAAGTGAGATTGTCTAAAAAAAAAATTATTTGGCTGAGTTGTGACTAGGAGCATGGAATTAAATTAGTAGCTATGATTTTTAAGTATTGTAATTCCAAACAAATCGTTGATGTAGAGCAACTCAAAGTTGATAAAGGTGGTTATGTTGTAAATTCATAGATGGTGCTTAAGAATTCTTACCTTTTTTAATAGCAATATTTTTTTACACGAAGAATTGACAGGAGTGAATAAGACGGAATGCCACTCCACCCTCAGGTCAGTTTTATGGTGTATTAAAATGCCAATCATGTTTGTGCCACTTGCCAGTCTGAGGGACTTTTCCCTTCATGCTTTTGTTAACAGTTTAACTGTGTTGTTAATATTGCTTAGGAAGCCTCCACGAGAAGTTGCCCACTGCACTGCTAACTAGCATTTAGAAATATCAGAATAAGTCAAGGGTCAAACCACTTTCATCATCTAAAATGTAGGGACTAGTTTTTCCTCCTGCTTCTTTTTTCTCTCTCTCTCTCTCTCTCTCTCTCTCTTTAGGCTTTCTCTTGTGGCTTGGAACTGTGCCAGTATATCTGAAACAATTTCACCAGTTAAATAGCTACTAAAATTTAAACAAGTCATTTTTCTCTCTGTAACAGTGATTTTTTTAAAAATAATGGACATATTATTTTGTTCTTTCCATCTTGAGTTAAAGCGTTAAGAATGGTAAACTGTGATCATTAGCAGACTAACTGAAAGACTCCAGCTCCCAGTGCACAATGTAGGCCTGCATATGACACAGGTATAATATCTGTGAGTGTAAATAACTGGAACTGTACACTGATTAACACAACAGTTGCTATTTTTTGTTGTTGTTCTGAATCTGTACTGTATGATAGAATGTGGGTATAAATATCTACAAGTATACACACATATGTATGTGTATTCCACTATTGTAACCTGAAAGAAAGACCATGTGTTACCTTTTTTATTCCATATTGGTGTTCGTGTTATTTAAAAAGCAAACTCGCGCTCTATCTAGTGGTTTACTATAATAGGAGATATCGCCGTGCACAATTCCAAGTGCCTTAGAACATTGTTTAGCTTTCCTAAGTACCTATAAATGCATATGTGTATAAAATTGGGAAACATTACCTCAATAAAATCATTGGGAAGCCCCAGTTTGGGTTCGTTCTGATCTGTATTATATTTGGATAATGTGCAGTCTTTTCAGCTGCCAGGCTCACGGAGTCCTCACTGTAATGCAAGAGGAAGACAGCTTTCTTCATTTCCTGTTATTTCGACTCCACCAATCTTTCTAACATGCTTTTGTATGTAAGGTCTTGTGATTTGTACTTTTTATTTAAAATCCTGCCTAAACAAGTACTGACCTTATTAACAATATATAGTATATTTTAAATCTTGCTATCTTTTATACCCAAGGATATTTGATATATCTTATTGACAGTCACAGTGTATAAACATAATAGTCCCTTTAGAACTTACAATATGGAAACTAAGTAGACTCCCTTATTGTGCACTTCAAGGAAGAAAAACGTGTTAGGAAGCGCACATGGTGGTGGCACACCTACAATCCCAGCACTCAGGAGGCTGGGGCAGGAGGTCTGAGTGAATTCAAGGCCAGCCTGGGCTGCATAGTGAGTTCAAAGCCAGCCTGAACTGCATACTGAGACTCTGCCTCAAAAAAAAGTTTGAAAGCATAGTTTGACCAGAAAAGAAATTGGAATATGCTCTTTGTGTTTGTTAAGAGTGGTTACAATAGTGATTTAGCCTCCTTTCACTCCAGAATAAAGTCAGAGATGTAAGGGAGAAGTTGACAGGTATATGTATGTCATTGTCCTAGAAAGAGGATATAAAATAAAGAAGCCTGGAATCAAAAACCCTAAAAATTTGGCCCTGGTATACTATTTCCAGGGCAGGTCTAGCTGTTGTTGCTCTTCCTCTTCTTCTTCTTTTTCTTCTTCTTCTTCTTCTTCTTCTTCGTCGTCGTCGTCGTCTTCGTCTTTTTCGTCGTCTTCTCTCTCTCTCTCTCTCTCTCTCTCTCTCTCTCTCTCTCTCTTTCCCCCATCTTCTTTCCTTTCTGTCTTCTTTTCTTTTTGTTTGTTTGTTTTTGAGTCGGGGTCTCACTGTGCAGTTCAGGCTGACCTTGAACCCACTATGCAGCCCAGGGTGGCCTTGAACTCCAATCCTCCTGAATCAGCCTCCCAAGTGCTGGGATTACAGACATTCTCCACCATGCATTGTTTCATTTTGTTCTCAGGCATACCCAGACACTATTTTAAGGCATTCCTTTCTAAAAGTCAGTGGAGAAAGAAATGGAGGTTTTTGTTGGACACAATTCTAAATGCCTCTGATTTATCGTGACTTTACTTTCTGCTGGACCTCCACTGAGACTTGTAGGGAGTTGTCACTAGGGCGCTGCTGCCCCAACACCCCAAGACCTCCCTCAGTTTGTGAGATTTTGAGCTCTTTGTCCTTTAATGGAGGATGTTAATAGTAGAACACATTAGAGACTAAGAACCTAAGGCTTGTGGGACTATTTTTTCTTCACTTTTGCTAAAAACAGGCACTATTTCCAAGAAACACATGTATGAGTGCACATTAATTTTACAAAGTACCGTGTGGCATTTGCATATGTGCACATAACGTTTTAATCATATCCATCCTATTCCTCTCCCTTCTACTTTGACAACATCTTTGATCTTTCATCGTGTTTTGTTTCTTCATGGAACTTTTTTTATTCTGCATGTCAAAGAAAATGTGTGACACTTGTCTTTCTGAGGCCAGCTTACTTCTCTTAACATGATCTTCAGTTCCACCCATTTCCTGTTTTTCTTTATGGTTCTTCCATGAATAGCAACTAGGTTCATTTCATCTTTGGCTATTGTGATTTATGCCACACACAAAAAAGAGGGGTAAATGCAAGTAGCCTTATATTATGCTGGCTTTATTCCTTTTGGAACGACATAGCTATATCCATATGGTAGTTCTATTTTAATTTTATTAGGAACCTTCTAGGTGATTTTCATACCATTTCCTTAGATATCGTAAGGGGAAAAGCCACAGGTGCTAGTTCCTTGCAATTAAACAAATACCAGGCGAAATGAGAACTAGTATTCTCAGTGATTGTCTCCCCGAGATTTCTTCCCACATGTGTTTTCAACTGAAATTGTCCCACATCAGACTAGCCAGCACAGAGAATACTCAGCATGGGCAAGCATTTGCTCCTTATTGCTCATAGAACAGTGCCCAGCAAATGAGCTTTCTCGTAGGCCTGTCCATATTTTTTGCTCTTAAATTCAGTCCCTGGTGACCTCTGATATCTCAGTCATCAACTGTTGGGGTCTTCTCCATCCAACCCATCCATCAACACATTGATCTCCGGCAAAAGGTGATGCTTTAACTGTTTGTACTCAGAAGCTTCCGGTGAGTCCCTTCTGAGTACCACCTCATTCCAGACACAAAGAGCCCGTGAGAGCTTGCAGTGACTAACCGCAGATCACAGTTCTAAATTACTGTCCCATTGTTACACAGTTGGGCCAAATTCAATGAAGTGTGTCACATGCTGCCAGCCTCCTGACCTTGTGTAGCACATCCTCTCCAGCTGGAATTCTCTTTTTATGTGTTACTATCCCACTCATCCTTCTAGGGGCAATCCGAGTATTTTCTCCAGCTATTGCACTGTAACTTATGTATAATGTTTCCTTAAATAATATATGTAAACTTAACACATCTTTTATCTTGATAAGTAATTTCATTGCCCAGGTATGTTGATAAGTCATCTAATGATATTTAATTTTAAATTTTAAGTAGGATAAATTCTTAAACTTTATTTACCAATAATAAGATACAGTTTTTTCCTGTATAAGCCTACACTTAATCACATAGTTTAAATTTGGATTGTGTGGCTAACAGGTCAGATTCTACAATATTCCGGTTTTTTTAAATTACAAGTATTTTATTACCAAGTACAGTATAGATCTCTCAATGATTAGCAAGTAAAAATGTAGATTTTAAAACTTCAGGTAAACTGAAATTTCTAGACTAGAAATTCACCATTTGTCTAATGATCAGAAATTCCCACCGGGCATGGTGGTGCACTCCTGTAGTCCCAGCACTTGGCAGGCTGAGACAGGAAAATCATTAGCAAGTTTGAGACCAGCCTGGGCTACAAAATGAGCCCAAGGCCAACCTGAACTGCATAGTAAGACCCTGTCTTGAAAAGAAAAAAAAATTCCCAACAGAGAAATATGTTATATGTATTATGTATTTCTGGGAAGAAGTTATTTGAAAACAGAGACACACTCAGAACCATTTCTTGATGCCCCTAACAGTAGAGCATCTCCAAATGCACAGCCTTCAGAAAGAATTGATTCCGTTAAGGCAGATTCAGACAACATCCCAAACAAGTTTTTAGTCTGATACTCCCAAATTGCAGTTATTAATCCTTCAACGATCATTTACTGACCCTCTTGAAATTTTGCGTATTCTTTCTCTTGGACTAGACACAACCCATTGAAATGACATCCAATCAGTGCCTACATTTGTTCCATCCCAATGTCTGATCTCATTTTTTCCTGAAAATAGAAGTCTACAGATAGGCAATGGATGGAGCAATTAAAGCTGAGCCAAAATGGAAGAAATAGTGTAGAATCTGATCTGCTAGCCACACAATCCACATTTAATCTAATTAGTAATTCAAATATAATTCTTGTCTAGACAGGTACATAATTCAGGTTCAGTTCCTCTCTATGGAGGAAGCTGGATTATGTCCCCATTTACCCATCATTCTCAATATTACCTCTCTGTGAATGTGTTTTATATAAGCACTGGCCTTTGAACTAATCATAACATCTTATTGGCAGCCTCATTAATAATGCACACAATAAAATCCTTAACATGCATTCATTTTCTGTATTTGTGAGAGCCATAATCTTATAATTTTATAATCATTTAACAATGTTTATTGAATTAAACTATACCAGTTTCTAACCTGTTGATTTTAAGTATTATATTAGATTTCTTGTCACTGACACAATACCCAACATTGCAACTTAGAGATGTTTCACTTGCAACTTAGAGATGTTCACTTGCTCACAGTTTCAGTCCATGGACAGCTGGCTGCACAGCAGGAGTATCAAGGTAGAAGGCCATGGCAGAGCAGAGATGCTGAGTTCATGTAAGTTGGACAGCAGCAGAGAGAAGATAGTGAGGGACCAGACACACAGCCCAAAGTCATGCCTCTGGGGCACGTCCAGGAGCATCCATTAATCTGCTAGGAGTTTCTTAATCCAAGGAAGCTGACTTGATAGGATTAATGGTCACAAATATCTTTACTTCTTATATATAACAAATATAATTCATTCAGCCCTCTACACTCATGGCTTCTGTTGTAGAGAATTCAACCAACACACATCAGAAATTTTTTAAAACTGTTCATACAAAACATACAGAGACTCTCCTTGTTCTCTAAGAAATAGAGTATAACTATTTACATAGCCTTTATGTTAAGTATTATAAATCATAGAGATGCCTTGTAGTACAGAAATGTGTGCTCAAGTTATATACAACTATGACACCATTTTTGTAAGAGAATCAGCACCCTGGGGAAGAGGTGTTCCTGGAAGTAATCTGCAGACAGAGAGAGACAGCTGTACTTCAGATCCTCAATATGAAATCATGAACACTGAAGAAAGATCTACAAGAGACATTAAAAGCTTCCTGCAACCTCTTCCTGCTCCTTGGGGACAATCACCATTGGCGGTGCAATGCAAGACTCCCAGACATTTCTTTACACTGCATTTTTTGAAAATATTTCTATGTAAAATATTTCTGTGTGATTTTTTTACAACTTACTGATACAAAAACGTGACCCACCATGGCATCCTGCAACCTGTTTTTTTGGTTTTTTTTCCTGGCTCAGTAAGTGGTTGATCTGCCTCAACAGCTCCACAGTAGTCCATTGTATGAATGGCTTGTACTTGTCTCCAATTAATTCCTTACTAATGGATTTTTCATTGCTTTATTTTCTTGGTCTATCCATCTTGATGCTTTTGCCCTTTTTAAAAATTAAATACCTCCATAAGCACTGTTAATATTGCCAGGCATGTAATTTATAATTCCTGAAGTTACTGCTTCAGAGTCTATTTAGTTTGGCTGTCCCCAAGAAATTTCTCTCCCCTTTTGTGTACGATAGTTTCCTGGTACTCGGGAATCTTTGAGTGCTGCTGATGGAAAGTAGTTCTCTAAGTACAAAAACCGAGTGGCATATAAATGGGGCCAATATGATAAACACGGTTTCAGTGGCTGAGCTCGTTTCCTAGAGAGGGAGCATTTCAAGGCATAATTGAAAGCAGAAATTCTTGTTCATCACTTTAAAATACCAATTTTTCCATATTAAGACAGCATGTAAAACAGTCTCTGTAGGCTCCCTATATGTATTGAGTATTTGTTAATGAGATTTTGGAAGGGGAGTGGATTTTGTTTGTTAGATTATTTCTGTTTGTTTGTTTGTTTGTTTGTTTTGAGATCCAGTCTCACTACAAATTCAGGTGGCCTAGAATTCACTGTGTAGCACACACCAGGCTCAAATTTGTAGTGATCCTCTTGCCTCAGCCTCCCAAATACTGAGATTAAAGGAGTGTACTACCATGCCCCACTGGAATTTATTTTTTAATGGAATATATTTTAATGGTTAAAGATGTGACCCCCAAACTATACCTTGGTTTGCATTTTGGTTTCAGACTGTTTTGTACTGTGAGGCAAAAGACACTTAAATTTCTGTTTTTCAATCTCAAATTTTGAAAAAAAAAACCCTATCTACTTAAAAGTTTAGTAGCTAAACATATTTAAAGTGCCCTTTACTATGGAACTAGTAAGAAAAAGATCCTTGCTTTCAAATAAGTTGCTACAGACAACTTATTTGTAAGTTGTAGAGACATGTAAATAAGGGTTTACAATGTTGTGTAACTGAGAGGTTTCACAAGATACAGCAAGCATCTTTGGGACCAACTCTAGTTTTGAAGAATATGGGGAAATTTCCTACAAGCAGAAAAGGTGAAGAGTCCCCCAGATCCCCCCCACTTTCTTTCCAGATACAGACCGATACACGGAATACCTTGACTGCTGTGTGATCTGGCCAGCTGCATGGAGTTTTTCTCCCCACTGTAGCCTTGAATCCAAGCCCACGTATTGAATGCTCCCAGGCACTGATAAAGCTGTGTAAGTTATTGCCTGAAATATCAAAAAATTCAAATATGTGCTAAACACAGGAATTAGCCCCAGCCCTGAGCCAGCTTTCTTAAACTCACATACAAACTCCATGTCTTAGTTACTGTCTCATTCCTGGGACCAAATATCTAACACTCACAATTTAAAGGAGAGGTTTATTTTGGCACAGTTTGTAAAGGTTTCAGTCCAAAGTGGACTGGTTCCAAGTACAAAGCAGCATGGCAGCAGAGAAAAAGTTTACGGCATGGCAGTCACGAAACAGCCATCAAGGGAAGTGGAAGGATATATATTATATATCTCCTTATATATATTCTCCTTCTAAACCATGCCCACAGTTAGCCATCTCTTCCCACCAGGATTAACCTCCCAGTGTCACATCCAGCTATAAGCCTGTCCGTGGACTAATCAAGTAGCCACATCTATGATCTAATGAGTTTGCAAAAGCCCTACCTATGAGTGCATGAGGCATCTAGATATAAACCATAACACTTCACAATCTGCCTCCTTTGTTGTGAACATACAACACTCCACTCAAGCATATTATGAATTCTCTTAATAAATGCTTTGGACTGATCACTCTGATCATTTCTTGAGGATCCCAACTGACCACCTCTCTGGATGGTTTGGAGCAATTCTTTTGTGAATTACTACCCCTCTTGAGGAAACTTAAGTCTAAGGTTCAACTGAGGGGAACAGATAAACATTAAGACTTGAAAAGTCTTTGAGATGGCAGATAGAGTCCACTTCTCTCAGGTACATTTTGGGAACTGCAAACAGTTTGACAGGATTGGCTCATGAATGGTATTTGATGAAAAGAAAGGACATGATGTTAAATTGATGACTGAAGAACATATGATACCAAGTTTCTTTTTTTTAGCTTTTATTTTTGTTAGTATGTTTGCATTACATAATGACATTTCTTATGGGGAGTTGGTACACACACATAACACATCTCAATGCAAGAATTTAACTTTATCTAAAGCCAGAGAATGGACATTATACAGAAAAACAAGTTATTTAGTGTTAAAAATGACAAATGTGACAAAATGAGTAATGCAGTGATACATTTGACTATTTAGCAGGTAGCAAAAAAAATGTACTGGCTGTCTGTCTTCAGGAGGCAATTAAAATTCAGGTAAGTGTACTACTCTCCTAAAGCAGCCCCTTACACTACACTTGGAGCTTTTCCACTTACTGTGATCTTGGGTAAGTAACTTTGCCAATTCTCTGAATTGGCAAACTCTTCCATGTGAGATCAACTTTGTGTCACCTAATTGTTCTTCACAGGTTTTTTGTCAAACTCAAATGATATCATGAATACAAAGGGCTTAATACAGTGTTCAGTGTGTTAGACTAACGAATGCAAAGTAAGTATATTATGCAAAAGAAAGAAAAAAAGCAAGCAGTGTTGTTAGGTGGCCAAGCTCTACTTGAACTCACCAAGTTTAAACTCTGGACCTGCCAGTTAGTAGTTATGTGACCAAAGAAAATCCCTAAGATGTTTTTATGCCTCAGTTTTAGTTATGAAGGGATGAAGAGAGTAACCCCTCTTTCATAGTGCTTTGGTAATGGGGGAAAATGACATAATTTAGGTAAAGTGCTGGATCCTTAATTCACTTAAATATTTGTTGAATATATTTATCAGGCGGTGGATGCAGTGTTAAACACAACACACTGATACCGAAAATGTCTTCGTGGATCTTATTTCCACATAATAGTAATGTGTCCCTGGCACACAGAAACATAAAGTGTTTTAACACTAGACGACTTGAGTAGTGTTAAATCATTTCTATAATTTTTACTATATGAAAATAATAGTATTTTCATATAGTAAAATATTTTTGGTAATTTTTAGTAGTAATATGCTAGACATAATTATAGCCACATTCCAAGATAATTGAGACACTGGAAAGACACCAGATATTCAGAAGTGGAAATAAATTTGAGGCTAAGACTACTAGGAAAATTTTGCTTTTATTATTATTTTTGCCCGAAAAAGCTGTGAATGTTACTCCAGCACCTGCTACAAGTCTTCTTAGGGAAGGTACACTTGACGCTTACTTCCTTAAACTACGATAAAACATGAGGAAAAGTCTTGGAAGAGAATTACTAGTTTCTGCCTTTATTACATACTGCATGTAAACACAGAGAGGTTTTGAATATATCTTATTGCTTAAAATGCGTCTACAGCTAGCAGTTCAGGGATTTTTTGTTAATGAATTTATGAACTCAATTCTTTAAAGGGTGTAACGTGAAGAGTCAATCTAGCGCGCAGCAGGAAGGCCACGCCCCGTCTTCCGTTGCTGGGTAACTGACTCCACCCCCCGCCCCTAGAAAAACAAACTTTGGGGTCCAGAAATGTGGCTACCTCCCTTCTGCGTCCCTGCACAGGGGTTTTTGTTTGTTTACAGTTGAAAGCAGGTAAAGAATATCAGTCAATGGAGATGTTGGATTTGACCCCTGATCCCAAGAAAGAATGCTAGAAAACGAAGTTTGTCCATCAGCAGGAACCTTCGTTCACGGCCCCAGTAACTCCTTTCCGGGATAAAAAAAATTCAGTCCCGAAAGCGCGCCCACCGCGAGGAGGGAACCAAGTTAGCCCCACCTCCCAGTGGCTCTCGCGATCTTTGAGGCGAATGTACTGACGTCACTTCCTGCATCGACTCGGCTACTCCACGGGGATTGGTGGATTTTCACGGGTGGCTGCGTGACGTACCTCCCGGAACTTGTGGACGCACGTGCCGTGAGTCCTACGGACGGGGCCGGGGTTCCGGGATTTGGAGAGTGGGCTTGCTGCGTTTGGTGGGAGTGAGCGCCGCACGGCAGCAACATGGTAAGCAAGCGTAGGTTGTTTCTGCGGCTGTACGCCGTGGTTTCATAGAGACAGGGGCCGTTGCTGGTCACTCTTGGCGTTGGAGTTGCATTCTTCTTCCTGTTTGCTTTGGGAAAAAGAGAACTTGTGCGAGAGAATAAGATTGGGCCAAAAGTGAGGCCACTTCGTTGGTTCCTTTGAGCATCAAGGTTGAGTAGCGAAATAATATGGACGGGGATAATCTTAAAATAGTAGCTGTACCTCTCCTGGCTTTATTCACTCGTTGGTGAAGTTTACCCTGTTTGGAACGGTCTACTTCAGAATTTCTTGTGGCGGGCTCCTGGACTTTCTGGTTTCTGTGAGGAGCCTTCCTAGGGCAACCAGACCAAAGGAACTCTATGTTGTTGGTACATCACAGTGTTTAATTTCCTTTCTCTGTAATTATCTGATTTGCTTGCCGAGAATGAAGACTTTCTCTGACTTTCCCATTGCTGCATTCCCAGCTCCCATATCAGTCTGGCACAGCCTAGGTGCCAAACTAAGGTTTGTTGACAGAAGGTAAGTATGGATTTTATACAGCACAGCCTTTTTTTCTGTCCCGGAAGTGTAGATTGGAAAAGTATGTTGACTCTTAACTTGATGTATTGCAGGTACATGTGAGAGCTGTGGTATGATCCACCGAATTTTGGTTCTGTTTTAATGACTTGTTCTGGTTCGTTTCCTTCAAAGCCTCACAGAAAGAAAAAACCCTTTATAGAGAAGAAGAAAGCTGTGTCTTTTCACTTGGTCCACCGGAGCCAGCGAGATCCTTTAGCAGCAGATGAAACTGCACCCCAGAGGGTTCTGTTGCCCACACATAAAGTAAGTCCTGTTCTTTTAGCCCGTAACTTGCAGGTGGACTTTTGGTAGAGTTTTTGTTTTGCTTTTTTGTTCGTTTTTGTAGCGCTCAGGGTCAGACCCAGAGCTTCATGAGATCAGGGCAAGTGCTCTGAGTGAGACTTTTAAATGAACAAATCTGGAGTAGTGGTAAATATTCACTAAACCATTGGTTACAACGTTGCATGGATGTTACTTAAGGCATAACCATATGCTCAATATTTGCTTTCCTAGAGCCCTGCCATTTCATGATCTCTTCTTCATAGATTTTGGTTGTGCCTCCTGATCATTCATGAAATGTAAAACCTCTGAGCTTAGGGATTGGCTTTAGAAAATGCCAGGGAGCTTTGTAAAGGTTGATTTGACTTGTTAAAAGTGGATAACATAAAAGAAAGTGATGAAGGACATTAGTCATATTTACCCTTTCAGTAGAACTGGTTTTCTTGTACATTGATTTGGGGGGGAGGGGAGTGCCTTTAAATACAAGAGTATACTTACCTTTCAGAGCCCTCAAGTCTTCTAATCATCCAAATAGAAGGCTAGTGCAAGTTTATTTTTTAGCTCCAATGTTTGCAAAGAGATGTCTAATAGTCCTAGGAATTGCTTTTGTTCTGAGAGGAAAGTATTTTCTACTTTCTTTTTGAGATAAGATCTCACTCTGTTGCCCAGGTTGGTCTCAAATTTGTGGGCTTAAATGATCTACCTCCCAATTTCCCAAGTAACTGTGACTTCAGGCATCTGACACAATACTTGGCTTGTTTTCATTCAATTTTAATTTTATATGGCCTTACGGCTTAGAAGCTGCATTTCCTGATTTTGTCAAAATTCTTTGTCTCATTAGTCTCATGTGGCATATGTGTTCTATTGTGAACATTGTGCTCATTGTAAGATTCCTGGACCTTATTTGTGGAAGAGTCACTAATTCCATTTTGTTTGTTATCTAAGATAAATGATGAAGAAAGACGAGCAGAACAGAGGAAGTATGGAGTGTTTTTTGATGATGACTATGACTACCTGCAGCACCTGAAAGAAACATCAGGGCCCTCGGAGCTTATCCCCACCCACACCTCCAGTGCATACAGCAGTAGAGATGAGAAGGAAGAATCTTCAGTAACTCCTGTAAGCCCGCTCAACAACCTGTGTGTTAGAGCGTGAGTGTGGAAATGAGTAAAGCAACCAAGGGCAAGATAACTGCCTGGGGCAAGAAATGGTGATAGTCTGAAGAGTACACATGGGCCACATTTCTACCTAAAATTATGTGTGCATGTGTATATGTTATCGAGAGTAGGCCACCTTGTTGCTAGTGGTAAGTGTCAAAAGTAAGTCTTTGGCCAGTTTCAGAACCTTTAATTTATAGATATGGTCATGTGAGGCAGCACTTTCAATAGAAAAGCAGTTGTGTGTGGTCCACTAAAGTATAAATGAGCACATACTGTATTTGTATGGAGCTAGTGCTACGCGTTAAGTTCTCTTTCCCCTGTTTATGTTAAGGGTATCCATGTGCTCTGTTGTCTTTCAGTATGAATTTCGTTGTAGCTATTTGTATGTCATGTGGCATTTTTACAAAAGAGACATTGAGATTATAGAAGCAAGAAAACAGACTTCAATGTTCCTGTTATCCGGCTCTGTGATGGTCTAACGTTGCTTCCCACAGGGAAATGAGATCAGAGCTTTTTTTCAGCTTGTTGTTGAAGAAGAGTTGGAAAGGGTTAAGTTTCTGATATCACCTCAAAGAAAGAGGTGATAAGTGCAGCAGGCCCTGGGTGAACCAGGTGTCTAGGTGTCCTCTTTTCTAAGACCCCACATCCCACTACTCCTCACCACCCTCAGCCATCATCCAACCAGCTTCTGTTTGTTCATCCTCAAGGCATTATGTTAATAGTATTACTTTGATAGCTCACTTATTTCAATACCCCATATCGGGAAAGAAAAGAGGGGCCTAGTACTGTTTTAAAGTAAAAGTTGCAACTCTTGACTGAATGTATTAGCAATATAAGGCTAGCTCCTAGTCCTTAATTCATTATAGGTAAAAGTAATCATTAATTGGTCTTTAGCAGAATCAACTTATTAAATGAATACCTCAGTTGTATTTACAGCAAAGACAAGTGAATTATATTTAAAAACAAAAATGCCGTTGATTTTTATTTAGTGCTGTGCAAAAATGTGAATTGATCCCATGGACTGTTTTTACCAGTTTGTAACCAGCTACAAAATTGAATAGTTCAAAACAGATTAAACCTTAGAAACAGATTGTAGGACATTAAAGAAGGACGGTAGAGAAATGAGTTTTAGCTTGCCCTGGTTTTCACATGAGAAGAATGAGTGTTGCTATTGCAGGAAATAGCTGGGCAAACTGGGTATAGTTGGAAACTGTTGCAACCAGTTTAAAAAAAAAAAGTTAATGTCTCTAACAACAAAAGTAATCAATCAAAAGTAATCAAAATACTAAAACTGAATTATGTATACCATTTTTTGACTAGCTTTCAAAGGCTGAAAAACTACAGGTAAATTTACTAAATACAGCTTGACCCCTTGCCCTAGAATTCTAAGGATGGTCAGAGTGATATAGTTAAAAACTAAAAGACTATTTTTATCATAGGTTATATATCATTTTATTTATTTTGATAAGATATTTGCCTTTGGCTTTATGTCACATAAAATCCTAATGCAGACTTAACTTGAAGGACAGTAAATGTCTGGAAATGAGATCCATGTCAGTATATGACTTGTCCATGTCTTTTTCAGTGTCATCTCAGCCAGTTTCTGGCATGATATTCAGATATAACATACAGAGGTAGAAGAATACAAAATATATGTGGTATTCCTTTAAGACAGATGACGTATGAATATCACAGTTTTAGAGTTAGTAATTCTTACATGAGTAATGTAATGTCCAAAAATAAAAAAAAAATTACATTGAACAAGTTAAATGGGTGAATAACACAAAAACACTTGTTTTTGAATAAGAATTTGTCACAGTATTGCCACTAATGCCCTTCAGAATCCTCCTCCTTGCTTAGAGCACACTTCTTCCATCATTCTTGCCACCTTGAAGGCATCTTTTTGTGAGTGTCGTGGCTGCTGCTAAAGAGCATGAAAAATAGTTCCGAGAGGAAGCCGAGAAATGCGGGACTGCTGTGGGCTGCAGTGGTAGGCGTGTACATGCTCACTAAATTGTTTTGAATTACTCTGTGGTGGGTAGGCACTACGCGGGCTTTATTCGGTGGTCTTAACTGAGTAAAAGTAAAAAATTTGAGAACTTGGAGTAGTTCTTGTTTTATAAGGCCTTGAAAAACCAGGAGCTTACACACAAAGTGAAAATCAGGATTTGGTACAAGTTTCAGAAAGTCACTTGATAGAGGTATTAAGGGAGTTTAAGCTGGCAGAGGTGTGAAGGTTAGATTAGGGGTGGACTGCTGTGGTAATCTGTCTCGGGTAACCATAAGCAGGATGATGCCCAAGGGAGGGAGTGAATTTACTCTGCAGGAGGTCAAAGGGACATAGGGACAGAGATGATTTATGACCACTAAGGGGTTTAAGACAGCTGATTCAGCGAAAAAGTAGACCAGAAATGAAGACATTATTGCCAGTTTAACAAGAAAAAATTAAATTTTATTCTGATACTTCAGGGAGTTGGGGCTAAAAGATCTGGATTTGAATCTAGAAGCCCGTGGAGATCTGTCTCGGGCAGATACGCTGTTTAGCCTTTTTTCCTGTTCTTCCCCTGACACCTCTGGTACTCAGGGCTTAGGGTCTAGATGGAAGAGTGAACTGGAGCGGGTGCTGTGAAGTGTTGCAGGGGTGGCTTTGAGGTGATGCCGAGATATGCAGATAGGAATATATGACTGGCACTGGGTAAGAGATTGCAAAATGCGGTTGTCACAGTTTCCTAGGGCAATTGGTAATTTAAAACAACAGAAATTTATATTCTCACAGTTCAAGAGGCCAGAAATTTGTCTGAAACGAATGTATTCACAGGTTCCATTCCTCTTGGGCTTGGGGAGATGGGGTGAGGCGCTCACGTCTGGGCCTTGCTGGCACTCACTCCTTACAGTGCTTGGGCTCGCGGATGCGACACCGCAGTCTATTCCGTTGTCACATGCGGTTCACCCTGCTGTGCCCTTTTATAGAATACACCCTAATCCAGTACAGCCTCGTGTCAACCTGTTACATCTGCAAGGACTTAGTGTACTTTTATGACTGATAGTTACTCCACCATGGACTTGGGTAAATTGCAAGGAAAAGAGACTTATTTTTGCTCACATCCAAGGTTGAGGGGCCACATCTGCCGGTGGCCATGCTGCTGTGGGCAGAGACCAAGGTAGCACATGAGGTCACAGGCACACATGGCAGACCTAGCAAAAGTGGCATTTATAGCAGAGCTATTCTCACAGTGACCTGTTAATCCGTTATATGAATGTGTTAATCCATTTATTAGGTCGAAGCCTCCTCACCCTTTGGAGTACAGCTGGTCTTGTCTCTTAATATCTTTTAATGACAAGTAAATTTTAACAACAGTTTCAGAGGGCACAGGCTGTTGCCAGTGTTATTTTACATGTGGTCACAGATGGAGGGGCCAGATGTGAATTTTAAGGGGATACTTTTCAATCCAGTCAAGTAGTGGACAAGTATTTTGTAAGTAAGTCTAACATTCATGTGGTTTCTTTCTAAGAGCACTGGAATTAAGTTGCCTTCATCAGTGTTTGCATCAGAGTTTGAGGAAGATGTTGGATTGTTAAATAAAGCAGCTCCAGTTTCAGGTGGGTGTAGTTTCCATACCTAATAAATGAGACAATGAGATGGGTCAGAATTCAAGTTAAATTCATGAGGAGGAGAGGAGAGTGGTTCTTTTGTATTATGCTTTCACATTCTTAGAACTTTAGAGATTCTATATGGAGAAAATCATGGGAAAACTACTTATTTCTTTAATAGGGAAATTTTAACATCACTTAACTTCTTATGACAATAATAATGACATCTACAGATAGTGTAATTTTGAACAATAACCTTTCATCTTTCAAAATTTCTCCCCAGGGCATAAATGCATATTATAGAAATGTATTCTACTATGTATTTACACTGAAAAAGTGGATTTTTAATAAATGTTCAGTACCGGCATTGTGGTTTAGAACAAACACAAAAATCCTCCAAATTAGTGTTTGGTGTTTTCTGAGTGGCCTAATTATTTGCCATCACTTGTCCTGTAGCTTTCAATCTATAGATTTTTGAGTTGCCAGTGTGGTAAGGGCTTCAATTAAGCCAGAATAAAACATAGTTCCAGACTACAAGGAATTTATGCCAGTTATAAGATAATAAATGAGAAATCAAAATTTCAGTACAGAAGTGTATCAAGACTGGTGGATGGAGGGATATCAGACCTAGTCTCAAGGAGTTGGGCAAGGCTTCCTAGAAGATATCTGAGTTGATTTTTTTGTTTTGTTGCTGGATATTGAACCCAAAGTTTGTCATACGCCAAGCAAATGCACAACCACTGCGTTACACCCCAGACTTTAAGTGGGAGGAAGGAGGGGTAGAGATTAGAGGTTATTCCAGACAGAAGACTGTATGTAGAGAAGCTAAGAGACATGAGTGTCTGAAGCCGCCTACATTTTAGCATGCCAGAAGCAAGGATAGGAGTTAGAGTTAAGCAGTGGCCATGTAGCATGTGGTATTGCAAGCTGTACCTGATAAAAATTTGAACTTAATTTTCCTGAACTCTATTATTTTTCAGATAGAAGAGTATAGCTGAAGAAATCAGAATTTATTAAAGATTTTTACATTACTGAAAAGACAGAAAATACAGTATTCTGTAGGTACTCATTGTGAATTAGTTCGAAGCATAGTTTCTTTCTGCAGGTGAAAGCTTTGAGGTTTGCTAAATAAACAAAGTTGAATAATCTAGATTTATGGAAGAACAAAAATTACAAGAGGAGAAATTTTTTTCTCCCATCTTTATGTCTGTTTTTAACTAGATCAAACTTGAACATAATTATTTTATCCTCACTACCTAACTAGAGTCTAGAATATTACAGTATTCAGTATTTAGATTAAGTAAATTGTACATTTTTGCTCCTTTTTTTTTTTAGGCCCTCGACTAGATTTTGATCCTGACATTGTTGCTGCTCTTGATGATGATTTTGACTTTGATGATCCAGAGAACATGCTTGAAGATGACTTTATTCTTCAGGCCAATAGGCCAACAGAAAAGGAAGAAGGGATGGATATTCCGTACGTGTAGTTTGTTTCTAAGTAAAGTTGACCTAGGACTGCTGCTTCTTGAGAAGGAGGGTAACCACATCATAGTTGGGGAGAGACCTGCAAGAGTATTTAGACTTTATCTGAGACATGAGGCCTCTGCCAGCTATTGATAGTGCTGGCTGACATCATAAGAATTTTGTTTACCCCTTCATTTTTTTTTTTTTTTTAACTCTGCCTGCTTGGTCAAGCAGCCTCTCTGTTCCTGCCTACACCAAAACCTTTCCTGAGTGCTCTCTAGTTTTATTTGTGTAAAGTTTTCTTGTTTTGACTCTGGCTACAGGAAATCTGAGGGTGAAGACAGCAGTGAGTGGGAAGATGAGGACGAGACAGGGAGTGGCAGTGACTCTGCAGGTGACCACAACTCTGCAGGCCCATTGTCAGATGAAGATGTGCCATCCTTCTTTGGAGATGCTCACAGGCCCATAGAAAAGCATTTGTTCTGGGAGGAGGAAACAAAAAGTCGCTTCACAGAGTATTCTATGACTTCCTCAGTCATGAGGAGAAATGAGCAGCTGACCCTACATGACGAGAGATTTGAGAAGGTGAGGTCCCCCCAAATGACACTGAATCCTAGTAAACATCATTGTTGGAAAAGAACAGGATTAGAACCAAAGGCTAAAACTATCAAGGACAGAAACAGCTGGGGGTTGTTTGTTTGTTTTAAATTTAAAAAGAGCATAAAACCACCGTAGTTCTAGTTCTGAAAGGAATAGAATAGGCCCAGAATGTCGACTGGTTAAAACATTCTGACTGACCTGAGAACTGAGATTTTGATTGTGAGTCTCTCTGACCAAAGTCTCCAAGCTGTTTTCCTAAAGTGTTGACCCGAGTATAAATGAAATTGTATTTCTTTCAGTTTCTCATACCTGGAGTTTTCAAACAAGGCAACCCTTAACACAAAAGAAAAAGGATACAGGATACTCTAAAGGCTTGAATTACATTATCCTGGATTGGGGTGTCCTTTGACTGACCGGCTCAGAGCTTCCATTTCTGTCCTGTGGACTGTGTGTGTTCAGGTCTCTGCCCTACTCACGCTGCCCAGTAGCACTCACCACCTTCTGCTATCATTTCTGATTTGTGTCTTACATTATGTTGTGTGTGGGTTTGTTTCGGATTCAAATGGAAGTTCCCTAAGGGCAGAGATTCTTGTGTGTTTCACTGGTATATCCCAAGCCCTAAAGTGGTATGTGGCCTATGGTAGGAGTTCACACTGTTTAATAAATGATAGAGTGATGAGATGGTTTCCTTCAAAATGAACTCAGGGCAGAGGTTCTGACTTAGCTGCATCTTCAGAAAGTATGTTTCCTTCATCTCTTTCATGAGAGGCCAGCTGTTAGCTCTTCACTGGTCAGGAGATGGACCACCACCTGAGTATTCTTCAACAAAGCCAAATAACAGTGAATGCCATCTAAACAAGCATGAAATGGATACACTAATAGGAGGCTGTGTTCAATTACATGATCTTTTAGGCTCTATAACCGAGGAATTTCAAAATATTAAACATTCTGAGGTAAAGATTTCTGCCAAGCATGTTAGTATCCAACCCAAGTAGAATAGCTGCTTTCCCTTTCCATGTTAAAGAGGAGCCTGTCTTCAATCTGCATGTGAATCTGGCAGTAACTGGCCCTATTATCAAGGGTATTAAATCCCTGCTGTTTTCATTAATTTACCATTGGTGTGACCTTACGGTAGTGCTTAAAAATTATGTGGGATAAAAGTAACATTTAATGTAGTAATGAGTAATTTATTTTTCATGATAATCCTTTTTCCGTTTATATTCCAGTTTTATGAACAATATGATGATGATGAAATTGGAGCTCTGGATAATGCTGAATTGGAAGGTTCCATTCAAGTAGACAGCAATCGCTTACAAGAAGTTTTGAATGACTACTATAAAGAGAAGGCTGAGAAGTATGGCGATTTTTTTTTTCTTGCTTGTCTGCTTTTATTCCATCTCTAATTAGGATCTATTCTTATACAACTGACTTGTGGGAAAAAATCCACCTAATCAGAATCATCATCGAGGGAACAGTACATTTTCCACAAACTTTGGCTCATAAAGTCACATGTTTTGTCTACATTTAAGAATTGAATTCTGACACTAAATATGACAGTAAGAAAATAGAAGGAACTACTGACTCAGCCCCAGTGACTTAGAAGAGCCCTGGTGGGAATATGAAGACTTTTCATTTGGAGACTAGGGCGGTGCTTCTAGTCTGTTTGGTAAAGAGTTATTCTGGCTTCTAAGAGTCCATTTTCTTTTCATCCTTCTGAAATGCTAGCAGTTCTAAGAGGCAGATATTTACGGCATAGAGAAATGAGTTTTTCTCTCCAGTTGGACTAGCAGAACTGATCAGCAAATTATTTAGTTGACTTCTCTAGGAGAAACTGGCAAGGTGTTTAAACCTGCTAGCAAAGTGCTGTATTCTGTGATCATTTCACCACATGGGTCTCTCAGTAGGAAAAGGGGTTACACAGTGTGAAGTATCCAAATGCATTGAAAACATGATAGGCTAATCCTTTTCTGTGTTTTAAAAAGGCCTGTCCTAGAGAAACCACCATCTTGTTTGATGTGTAGCTCTCTTTCTAACCTTACAAAGAGTCGAGCCCCTTATCAGTTAGCAGAGTGAATGTCCAAAACACACTGGGACGGAGAAGCAGGGATGGGTACGGCCACATGTGACTGAAAATGACAGGTGGTCACAGGAGCATGTGGATTTTAAAATTCACTATTTTCATAGCTGTTTGAGTAACAACCATAATGGGTTTTGTTTTTCTCCTTTCTTTATTTTAAAAACTTCAACCCAAAGTTGTATAAAATTGAATACTCTTGAACCTTTTGAGGATCAAGACCTGCCAGTGGATGAGCTTGAAGAATCTGAAGAGATGATTACTGTAGTTCTTGAAGAAACCAAAGAGAAGTGGGATTGCGAATCCATTTGCAGTAAGTATCTTAGTGTCTACTGCTCAAACTATTAGTAATTTTACAGTGTTAAGTACATCAGCTTTGAAAAATGCATACATTTTTCAATAGAAGTTAAGCTTTTAGGCAGTATGTGGAAAGAATGTATAAAGGGGAGTATTCCTATTACTGAGTTATAAACAATTTTAAAACATTTTATCAGAGAGACTCCAGTATTATTTTGCATCACCATGGTCAGGAATATAATAGGAACACAGTAATTTTTTCTGAACTAGAATTTACATACTGATAACCTGATTTTTTTTTTTTTTTTTGGTAAGGTACATACTCCAATTTATACAACCATCCACAGCTTATCAAATACCAACCAAAGGTAAGTCTGGGTGTCCTGAGCCTATTTAAATACCTACTTTAGGGAACAGAGTGTGCTCACATTCTCATTGCAGCATTCACTTTCGTGGCTAAGCAGCATCAGTGTTATTTAGGAGCTACATTTAATGGGAATAGGAAATAACTAGTTCTATCATCTTTATTTCAGCCCAAACAAATCCACTTATCTTCTAAAACAGGAATACCTCTCAATGTCTTACCTAAGAAAGGACTCACAGCAAAGCAAGTCGAACGAATGCAGATGATTAATGGCAGTGATCTGCCCCGGGTATCAACTCAGCCACGTTCAAAACATGAAAGCAAAGAGGGGAAGAGAGCAAGAAAGCAAGCTATAAAAGAGGAGCGCAAGGTAAAATAGTTTCTAAGTTTACAAAGAGTTGGTGGAGGGGAGTCCAGGAATGTTCTTTCCTCATGAACAGTAGTTTGTGTCATGTTAAGGATGTGAATAACTTACGGATCCTCTTGTACAGGAACGAAGAATGGAGAAGAAAGCTAACAAATTAGCGTTCAAGCTGGAGAAGAGAAGACAGGAAAAGGAGCTGCTGAACTTGAAGAAGAACGTGGAAGGTCTGAAGCTGTAGGTGGTGGGATGCTGAGGAGGAGGCGTGTTCCCATCAGGGGCTCCACGTGTGCGCACTAAGCAGCCAGGTCTTCAGGGGCCACTGTGTGCGCTGCCATTTTTAAGGAGCAGATGGCAGAGAGAGAAATAGAATACTTAAGAGTATTTTGTACCACCAAGTTTTCCTATCAACTGTCTTGTAAATATTGTAACATTTTAATTTAAATTATAAGCTTAGATTTGCCCTGAAATAAATGACTTCATAAATATGAAATGTTTGGATAAGTTAAAGGAAAATATCTTCATAACTTGAATGGAATTGATGTATTCATTTATTTGTATGGTTGTCATAGTTGTTTTTTGCAGATGTTCTCAAATATTTCTTTGAAACCTCTCCACGCCTTTTCAGGAATTTCATGGTTTAATTTGCTGTATGTAGAAAAGTGGCCTGGTTAAACTCAACTTTGAAATGCTGAGTTTATCCTGCTCAGTGGTGAGAAGAGTTTTCCTGAGAAGATTCCACTAGTCGGAAGCTATTTTCTCTTCTTGTATACAAAAGGACCATTTCAAAGGAAGGGTAAAACCGAATATTAAAGTCATTAGAATTCAGATGTCCTGTTACATTTCTGGATGACTTTGGGGATTTAGGAATAGTGAAGGCAGGAACAGAATAGTTGAAAAAGTAATCAAGAAAAAACTACTTTGGCTTTAGTAACTCCCTAGCTCAAAATCAGAACTCTACTTCAGTTTAAAAACTAGTGTTGTGCTCACTTAGGCAGCATATTACTAAAAAGCAGAATGTTGTCTTTTTAACATTATTTAATACTTGGAACCTTTTATATCTGACAAAAATACGTAGCTGAAGACTGCATGTTTTTGATGGGGTGTTTTTCTTTTAACGTCTACAGACTGAAGGTTTAAGCAGTTGGCTCCATCACAGCTGTTAATTATTTGGTAAACTGTGACTTTTGCAGCCACCCCTTATTGCTCCATCAGTGACTGATGTTACCCAGACTGGACTATAAAAGCTGTGGCCTCTGGGTCCTCACTGAGTGAGGACCAGAATGTTTAAGACAGAACCATTTTTGGCAGGTGAGCTACATTTGATATCTAAATTACAAGAAATATTTTCATCTCTAGTTTTTGGCTTTTCCAAAGCTGAGGTAATCTTGTTCTACCAAATGTTACCAGTTTAAATAAGTTACTGTAGGAGCCAAGCATGGTGGTTCACACCTGTAATTCCAGCATTGTGGGGAGCTGAGGTAGAGGGGCTACAGGCTGAAGCATAGCGTGGGTAATTTTTGACTTAGCAGTACTCTGTCTTAAATTTAAAAAAAAAAAAGAAAAGAAAAACTGGGGATGTAGCTCAGTGTGGAGGCCTGCATTCTTAAGTACTGTATTTTATTCCAGTACTTAGGAAAAAAATGTAGGACTTTTTTTTTTTTTTTTTTTTTTGGTACCGGGAGTCGAACTCATAACCTTGTACTTTCCAGGAGCTTATACCAGTGAGCTAAATCCTCGGCCCTCATTTTTTTAAAAGAGTTGAAAAATAACTGTATTGGATAATGAACCAAAACTTGGCTATAGAAATAGATGTAGCTTGCTGAGGAGCTTTAAATGCTAACCTGCAAAAGCAAAATGTCAGTTGATGGTTTGTGTATCAGGGATATGAGTCCTGAAAGGATCAGGAGTTTATTTTGTTGTCTGTCTCAAATGAAGGTTCGGAGGACCAGCAAGCTTTAGACGCTGGCTGTCACTTTGTCCTGGTGCTATTTATATTCCTGTAGGGCAGTGGTGGTGAACCTACGTGCATGTCACAGCAAGTTGTAACACGGGGAGCTCTAAAAGGTTCCCATCAGTGACGTATGTTTGACCAACATAATTTACAATTAGAGGAGTGATGAAGCCACAAGTCTTGACTCAGCATACGGTGGCATAAGGCAAAAAAGCTCCAGACTTAAGAGATCTTAACTTTATTCTGGAGAATAAATTGATTATAATTTAAGCTTGTAATATTTTAAGCTTGTAATACCCGCCCCCTCCCCCCCAGCAGCATCCTGGATCCCCCGCTTTCCACAGCCAGGCACTCAAGTTGGTTGATAGTTTAGACATTTATAAATAGTAGCTGGGAACTGAACATGTAAGCTCCATGCTAAATAGTAGGAGTTCCCAGAGGTCAGAAGTTTACTTGTCAAGAACTATTCGGCTTCGAAAAGGAGGGTGTATGTAGGTTGGGCAGTGGGGCCAGTGTGACAAGTGCCATTCATGAGAAGCTTGGTACTCACTGTTCCCCCGAAGTGTCTCAAGCCTTCCTCAAGGTGGGTGCTTGTTACCACCCTCTGTGGAAGCGCTTCCCTGAGTGTGTGTGTAAAAACTGCATTCTTCTCCTCCCCTGCTTTAGCTTCACTGATGTGCGAGACTGTTTTCTAGTCTCTTCTCCCTGCAGCAGACTTAGCAGAATTTTCGTGTATAGCTTTATCTTCCGTGTCTTACTGTGCCTGGCATGTGGTATTGTCTGCTAAGCAGTGTGTGACTGAATGAGTTTGAGTCTGTCAGACATTTCAGAAAAATACTTAAAACTTGGAGGGAGCAGCAGCACCCACATTCAGGGGGCTTAGCATGAAAAGGGCCTCTGTGAACTTGGGTAAACGGCAAAGTCATGACGAATTTGCCAACTGTTTTTTATTCCTGTTCACATACTCTCCAGGACTGGTTTAAAACTACTTGATAAGGTCTTTCAGTATCTTACCTGCTGTGACCTTTTCTGTATATTGTCTGTGAGGCACTGTGTCCACACCATTGTGATGTGATTATGTCACCTAGGTGAAGGACAGTTGTACTCATCTTAGAACTTTATGGCGAACTTTCAGTACTTAATGTTTTGTTGATTTGTTTTCTGGTCCCCCTCCCGCCACCTTGGGTGCTTGCATTGGTTTGCTTTATCAAGTGTGCTCTAGTTAGAGGACAGGAGAGAAAAGGTCAAAAGAAGGTTACAGATTCTTAATAGCCTTGTATTTTAGTTATGAAACGTATGGGAGGGTATGTCAAACACACACCCACCATTCAGCTCAGAAATACAATATGGAAGCTGCCTATGGAACCATTGTCAGTTTATTCTGCTCTTTCCTCTCAGGAAACTTAGTCATCTGTAAACCATCTAGGCTGTTATACTAACATTTCCTTCCTTTTTTTTTTTTTTATTGTTTTATCTTTAAACCATCTGAATGGTATCCCTAAACACAAAATCATCTGTTTTTGAACAACTGAAAGAGAAGCATAAAGCTGGCTGTGAGGGCAGTGTTTGCCTCTGATAGGTGAAGCGTCCTGGAGAAGATGAACTGAACAGGCCCTGGGTTGGACTTTAGCCTCTGTAGTTTACACAAAGAATTCCGTGTGCAGATGCCAGAGAACACAGTTATAAGTCCCAGGGAACAACTCAGCAGATTTAGAGCTATGATCGAAAGAGTTACACACATAAGGTTGTATGACTGGGCTATATTTTCTGCTTCAAAGGTTACGGGACCTACCTCAGTCTCAGTACCCATGTGCATGCTTCCCTCAGGGTGCAAGGAGCATCCTCATCTAAATGTGTGGATGTAAAGAGAGATTTGCGGGCCATGGACAGAAAGACCCCATGTAGAACAGAAAGGAGGCGGTTTCCCATGGATACACTCCGGAAGATCACAAAGGCAGGAAGTACCTTGGTCCTGTTAGCCCCCAGTGTCTGTCACACACCTCCAGCTGGGGCGGCTTGTGCTCTGCTCTGGGATGCCATCTCCCTCTGCAGCTGAGTTGCCTTTTTTTGTATCTTTTCCTCACATAATTTGTAGATCATGTGCTCCACTAATTCCACAAGAAGGTACATGGGATATACACCTTTGGAGAAGTTGGATGTTTGGAAATGGCCTCTATCTTCATATTTAACTCGTGGTAAAATGATACAAAATTCTAGGTTGCAGGTTTTTTTACGTTGGAAGTTTGTAGAGGGTTTTTTAAAACATATTTTAATTTCCCAGTTTGCTGTTTGGCAGTATGAAACTATTCTGATTCTTAAGCTTGTGTGTAACAAGTTCTTTTTCTCTGGAAGTTTGTAGAAGGTCTTTCTTCAGTGTTCTGAAGTTATACAATGATCTTCGTTTCTTTCAACCAGGAGGCCTGTGTCCTTGAAATTGTGGAAAATTACTTCTTTCATCACATGTTCTCCTTTGCTCTCAAATCCATTTGGTGTAGGACTACCTGGGCTGGTACTCTAATTTGCTTGTTTCTGTACCAGTTTTGTACCAGTTTACTCTTTTCAGGGAGATTACCCTAAGTGCCTTCCTACTTGTTAGTTTTTCATTTCTCCTACAAAGTCTTTAATTCCAAGAGCTGTAATGTTCCTTTAAATTACTTTTTGTTTGTTTTGGACTTACTTACCCAGAGACATTCTTGAGACCTTTGGAAACTCTTTGTTTATGATTAAGTTGAGGGGGAAAAAAAGATTTGAGGGGAAGAAAACATTGAGTATTTGAGGGTAAGCTTTCTCATAGGGTGAACTTTTTGAAAATCTCCCATGTCAGTATTTTTAGGTATTTCCCAGTACAGTAGTAACTCAGTTTTTATGAACTTAGGTTGTTTTACAATTTTGGGAAAGATGACTGTGTAGGGAAGACGGCAATGGTCATGTTTGTCCTTGATACAGTTTGTGAGCAGAACCAAATTTTGCTGAACACTTTTGTTTTGTTTGAGACAGGGTCCTTTATGTAGTACAGGCTAGCCTGGACTCACTGTGTAGCCCAGACTGGCCTTGAACTTGAGGTGATCCTCCTGCTTCAGCCTCCTGAATGCTGGGATTACAGGCATGTGCCATGATACCCAGCTTGCTGAACACTTTTGTTTGCAAACCAAACTGTTCTCCAAAAGAAGCATTCATGAACAAGCTACTGCTTAGATTCCCAGGGAAGTTTTCATTCTGCCATGAAGATAGAGTCTGAAAGCCAAGTAGAAGGCGACGGCAGGGTGGTCCCTGCTTTTCAGTATCATTATCCATGAGATTACTCACTGGATTTTGTATATAGATGCATACATGTACATCTAGACAGGTGCCTTTACACGCAGTCCTCCTTGGTAAATTCCCTCTTTGCAGTCCATGGACTTGACCAAAATTTACCTGTAACACCCAATCCAGTGCTCAGGCCACTTAGGCAGTCATTTCTGAGAGACGTGTGTGGTCATAAGCCACCCATCAACCGTGTTTCCAACTGAGGTCCAGCAAAGGGGTTTTCTGCCCACTTGTTTAAGGTCTGGAACTAAACTGGTATTCTTTTTGAGGGCTTTTTTTTTTTTTTTTTTGCACTTTTTCTTGGTGATTTCATCATTTAAAATCGATGGCCAATTTCCACAGGCCCGTGTCTTTCACCATCCACTAAACTAAAATGGAAATAGACCAAAGATCTGAATATTAAAACAGAGACGCTAAATCTGTTGGAAGGTAGAAAAATAGAACTCTTGAAAACATTGGTATACGCAAAGGTTTTATGAACAAAACCCCAAATGTGCAAAAGCTTGCACAAAGAATCAACTGAGATCTCATTAAAAAAAACTTAAGCACAGCAAGAGAACCACCAACAGAGTGAAGAGACCCACTGTGTGGGAAAAAATTTTTTGCCAGCTGTTCCTCAGACAAGGACTATCTAGAATTTATAAAGACCTAATCCAAAACTGGGCCCTGAAATAGACACTTTTCAGATAAAGAAGAAGAAATGACAAAAAAAAAAAAATTAAACATCACCAATCATTCAAGAGATACAAATTAAAACTGAGAGTCCATCTCCAGAATGAATGGCTGTTTTTAAGAAATCAGGGACAACCCACTTACGATCTCCTCTTGTCCCTCAAGCTGGAGCTGTCTTTCCTTTAATAAAATTTCTTACTTAAAAAAATTAACCAGTAACAAATGTTAGTGGAACCATGGAGGAAAAAAGACTTCTCTACTATAGGTGGGAGTGTATACTGCTGCAACCACTGTGAAGATCAGTGTGGAGAGTTATCAAAAGGCTAAGATTCCATTCAACCCAGCTATTCCTCTTGATATGTTACCAAAAGAATTAAAA